ATGTTGAGAAGCCAAGTTGTTGGAAGGTTGAAGGAATTGAGTGAAATTATGGGAACAGATGCTTTGTTGAATGTTGCCCAAGGCGATGAAGAAACATTGCTGGAATTAAAGTCTTTAGGAATATTAGTGGAACCGTGTGATCGTCAAGGATCGACTGCTGAGAAGAATCCTGAAAAAATCAAACTGATTCAGAATGAAGAAAATAACCCTGCTGTTTATAATACGAATGATAATCCTGAGGGGACATGTTTAGTTCAAGAAGATGGACAGCCAGAAGGTTTGGTTGAAATGTCAGTTCTTCCAACTAATAAGAACATCAGTAACTCACAAAAAAGAGGTCAATATGAAAAGCGAAAAGTACCCACAAAGATCTGTTGACGTTGCAGCTGATATTAACAGGAATACAATTAAATCTTGTGACAAGAACTTGGCTACTGACACGGTTGAGGGTAGTGGCTATCGTAAACTACCCGACTCTGAACCTTTGTATGCATCAGAAAGGAATCAACAGAGTTTTGTTCAATCTGTTCCTTCTGTGAACTATCTGAGTAATGAAAATATCTTGATTGGTGGCTGTAGTGAGCCTAGTGACCATGAAATGTCACAAGAAGGTGCAAAAGACCAGGTTGAATCCTTTATGAATCAGATAAAAGATTCAGAGCAATTTCTGGATCTGATAGAGAACAGAGTTCTAGAGTTGAACAACGACAAGGAAAGTCTAGAAGTCGAAGAGCTTTTAGCAGAGTTTTGTTGTCGAGACCAAGATTTTGAGAACGTTTTAGAAACTGGTATGGGTTTGGTTCGTGATATCTCAGAGGATGAAAAGTTTGGTGTGGAAGAAAAGATTGTGGTGGTTGAAGGTCGATGGAACGACCTAAAAGAAGAGCTTGTCAAACGTAAAACAACAATTGAAACAGTTTTCATGCTTGAGAATTGTCTCAAGAAGTTTGAGAAATTTGTTGAAGAGGTATCTGAGTTTGTGTCTGGTAAAGATGCTAATACTGAGTGGTTATTCACGGACGAAGAGGCTGGTTGTATTGTTGACTGTTACCTGGGTAGGCTTGAACGTGAACAGGTCGCTTTGAAAGGTTTGATTGAAGGAACGAAGCACATTCTGTCCAATGCTGCTGGTGAGAGTATCGAGGAACAGTTAAATCAGGTTTCTAAGACACAAATGGAGCTTGCAAATAATTTACTTGAGAAGAAAGCAATGGTAGAACGGTGGGTTGAATTTTCCCTGTCTCTTGAAGGCGTTGAGTGCGAAGTGGAAGCACTTACAGCTGAATTCGAAGATCTCGTGGAAGGGGAAGATAGCGAGTTCATAATGGAGAGACATCTTAACGAGAGTCGTGTGCATATGTTGAAGATACTCCTAGGAAGTTTAGTGGGAAAACAAAACAAACTTCGTGAATTGTCCGCTGAGTATAAAGATGTGCTCAATTTCAGTAAAGATTGTGATGAAAAGGTGAAAGAACATGAGACAACTATTTCTAAGAAAATAGAACTTGTTTCAGAGAAACTCGAAAAGCTAGAGAGTTATCTGGATAGCTTTAAAGAACTCGAGTTTGAAACAAATGAACTACAAGTTAAAGTAAAAGAAGCTGACAAAGCCTTGACGACGTTTGGCCAATCCACGTGTGCTGAAGTTCGCTCAAGAACTACTCCACTCGAGCAACTTTCTGAAATCAAGCATTTGGAGGAAAATATATTGAAACTAGAACCGCGCGTCAAGTTAGTAAAAGAGAAGAGTTTGGAACGGTTAGATCAGCTGGATTATGAGAATTCTGGTTACTGGTTTCAAGAAAATATCAAGTGTTTGGTGGCCAGCTACGAGAGAGCAAGAACGCGCGTCAGGAAGAACGTAAAATCGATTGAAAGCTGTGTTTCACTGAAGGATAAGTTCGATTTGAAGTTCCTGGAAATCTCAGCGTTCCTAGAAAAGGTTGAGGAGTATTTAAATGAAGATGAAGAGATTCCAGGAAACTTTGATGTGACTGCAAAGGAGGTTGCTCTCGTAAGTGGAAGAAGGTTTTTAGAAGAGATGGCACTGAAGGAAGATTGTTTGCGTGAGTTGGTGGAGATGAGTGAAAGCGTGAGTAATGAAGATGAGGATGAAAGAGATGTATTGCAGTTGAGGGAGAGGTTTAATATCAGACTCAAAGAGCTGAAGAGGAATGTAGACTGCCTGGATGTGACATTGCAGTGTTACAATGACTTTGAGGAGAAAGTTGAAGAATTGTCTTCGCTCATGTACGAAGTGCAGGGCTTTCTCTATGGCGAAGGTGTTGAAACAAGAGGACTGGAAGATCTGTTGGAACTGGGAAGGTCTTGCTTGGAGAACGTCGAAAACAAGGAAGGAACTTTGATAGAATTAAAGAACAGAGTTGAGAGGCTGACTGAAAGTTTTCGTGAGGAGGAGAAGGAAGTTATCATCGCAGAATTGGGAAGTCTGGAAGAGAAGTTGGCTTTTTTAAAAGCGACTGTTTTGCAGAGGATGGAATGTCTTGAGGCTCTTGCGTCGCGACACGATGTGTACAAGAACGAGCTGAAGGAAGTTAAGAAATGTATTTCATCTTTGGAACAGGAAACAGAGACAAGGGATGGTTTGGTGCCTAAAAAGGTAAATGAAAATGTAGACCCCGTAAGCCTTCAACGAAATGGAAAATCCGACAGCGTTTTAACAGTGAAAAAAGCAGAAGAAAGTTGGTTGGAAAAACTCGAGGCTTTCCGAGCACGGCTTCAAAATTTGGACAAGATGAAGACGGAATTACTTGAGGAGACACAGGAGAGTAACATCGACCTCGGCGGCGCCTCGCTGGGGCTTGAACCACTCGAACTGACTGTTGCAGATCTTGAAAGAATCAACGAAAAGAAAATTAAAGAACTTAGAGAACATGAAGAACAACAGGAAATGATTTCAAGAAAGGTGTCGGAGTTTGAGGAAGAATTAGGACGACTTAGGAATGAAGTTGAAGAGAATAAAGTGGGTCCGATCATCGTCGAAGAAACGATGACAAAAACCAAAGTATTGCTACAAGAAGTTGACACTACTTTGGCAAGCGTTGCTCCAAAACAGAGATACTCCGTTGAAAGTATTCAGTTGATTGAGCGATTGGAAAATATTCGAGATAATTGCATAGAAATTAAGAGGCACCTGATTCGAGTTGATCCGAGTATTGCGCGATTAAGTGAAGATCAAATAAGCAGTGAAAGCGGATGTCAAGTTTTGACTGTCGTAGCTGAAAAAGATGGACAGCAAGACATTGCTGGAGATGAAGTAATTCGTGAAGACATCCAACCGACAGCTAACGTTGCACAAAGAGATATTTCCAATGTCGTCATAACTACTGATGCGACTGACGAAGATACAACTTTAGAAGGAGAGGGTGAAGGCCTACAACCAAATAACTCGATTGAAGATAAATCTGATGAAAATGCCAAACACTTCCCGTCGGAGAAACTGATCCAACAACCCAAAGTGAAGATTGAAAGTGTTGCTTTTGAGATCTTGCAAAGCGAAGTCGAGTCCTTGGCCAACGACGAGGAGGTCATGGCAATTATAATTTCAAACTCTGAACAAACGACTGGAAATTTACATAAAGAACTTGAAGCGGCACAAGCAAAGCTTGAATTACTTCAACAGAAAGAACAACAACTGCAGAGCATTAGTTCACAAGCTGAAGGCATGTGGGCAACTATTCCATCCGAGGGACAGAAAATATGTCAGGAGAATATCGTCGAAATTGAGGAGAAGCTTTCGACTGCAAAAGAATGTTTGTTTACGCGGATCAAGATGCTTCAACAGTGTGCACAGACAAAGGAAATGCTGGAGCAAAATATATTAGAATGCCACGACGTGCTAGACGCTGTAGGTAAATTACGTGAGCCAGCAATGGTGAGGGAATTTCTTGAAGTGCTCAGAGATCCAAACAGTTGCTTCGAGAATGCAACCAGGTTGTCTTTTGCTTTGAGTGTTGTCGGTGGTATTGAAGAGGAAGAATGCTTTCCCAAGGAGCTTGAGGATCTGCGTGAGAGATGGGAAAATGCCATGAAAGATTTAGAACAACGAATAAGCGGGGAGGTTGGGATGGAATTGGAAAGCAAGAGTAGCAAATACATAAGTGAAAAAGGAGTAGATTTAAAACAGGATCCTCCAGGAGAACTTGTAAAAGGAGTTGCTGACATGGGATGTCAAAGCGATGGAAATTCTTTGATGTTGACTGAATACAAGGACAGTGTTATTGAACAGGAAAGGGAGATTGATGCGGATTCCTTAGAAGATGCGGCAGAAATAGAAAATCTAGTCGCTGATCAGGAATCAGGAGAAGCTGATGATGGCACATTAATGGTAAATGGTCTTAACGAAGAAGCTGTAATACAACCGCAAGTTAAAGAGGTTGCCGGGCCTGAAAATGTAATCCAGAAAAGGTCTTCATCATTCAATGAACGCAAGGGGAGTGGTTTTGAAGAGGCTGAAATCGATGTTTATTTCAAAGAAGGTACAGCAGAGCAGCGAGTAGTTGAGGTGGCTGAGCTGAGTACTCTCTCAACGTTAGAGGAAGAGAAAGCCAAAGATATCAAAGAGGAGAGTGAAAGTGTCGTGATTTCTGAAGTAGCTTTAGCAGAACAGCAAGTGACAGACAGTTCAATGTTGAACAAACACAATGATTTTGATTCGAGATATGAGGGTGGAAATGACGTAGGCTCTAAAGACGATATAACTGAACCTGCGAACGAAGGTTGTGAGACGGAAGAGGTTAGGTCCGATATAAATCTTAGACAAGAGGTTTCAGGTAAAAATCTTACCCAAGGAGATAGTTTAAAGAATATTACCTTTGATGAAAACACCGGTGAAGACTTTACTCGTAAAAACGACAACCAAGACGAAACCGCCAAGGATGAATTTACACAAGAGGACATTATTGAACATGGAATCAACGACGAGAGGTTAGGTTTAGTTGTCAAAGACGAAGCTGGACTATCTGACCTGAGTCGAGGTCGTATTCTACAACAAGGAACTGGACAAGAGAAAGTAATAACGGAAGTTGTTACCCCGGATGAATATACCTATAAAGAAAGTAAAACTCAGAGTGAATTTACCTCGGAGGAATTGTCTCAGAATAATATTACTTTACTAAATGTTTCCCAAAGAGAAATTCGCCATGAACTTCATGTCACTCAAGACAAAGCAATTCAGGACGAAGTCGCTGAGAAAGAAATAGACAAAGGAATGACAAACGAGAAAAATGAAGCTGTTGGCAGAAGCGATATCGTGGACGATGTCAGCCTCGATGAAAACATACAAGAACGTGTTACACGAGGAGAAATGGCTCCAGTGGAAAGTACTCAGCAAAAGAGCGATCAAGGAGAGTTCATCCAAGGTGAGGAGTCCCGGGATATCATTCTCAGACAGGAAGAGACGCTCGATTTAATTTGCTCACGGGTTCCGCAGCAAAATTTCGACTACGGAAGAAAACGCACGAGTGAAGTTGCAGATGAAGAGAACATTCAAAATCAATCATTCAGAATCATTGACGCTGGAGTTGTTGAACAAGATACCCAGGATGAAATTGCTCAGGTTTCAGTTTCCCAAGCCAAGATTATCGCAGACAACAACATCCAAAGCAAACCCATAACAGATTCAAACCATATGCTGGGAACTGATAGACAGATCACCCCAAAACAACCTGCCCTAGATGATGTTTCTGATATCGAAGGTCGGCAAAATAATTTCAACGAAACAGGTGGTCTCTCTCCTCGCGCGATTGTTGACAGCAAGATACAGATACAGGATGACAAGATACAGGATGACAAAATAGAGGATGACAAGATACAGGATGACAAGATACAGGATGACAAAATACAGGATGACGAGATACAGGATGACAAAATAGAGGATGACAAGATACAGGATGACAAAATAAAGGATGACAAGATACAGGATGACAAAATACAGGATGACGAGATACAGGATGTCAAAATAGAGGATGACAAGATACAGGATGACAAGATACAGGGTGACAAGATACAGGATGACAAAATACAGGATGACAAGATACAGGGTGACAAAATACAGGGTGACAAGATACAGGATGACAAAATACAGGATGACAAGATACAGGATGACAAAATACAGGATGACAAAATACAGGATGACAAAATACAGGGTGACAAGATACAGGATGATAAGATACAGGATGACAAGATACAGGATGATAAGATACCGGATGACAAGAGACAGGATAAGATACAGGATGACAAGATACAGGATGACAAGATACAGGATGACAAGATACAGGATGGCAAGATACAGGATGATAAGATTTTCATTGAAAAAACAAAAGGGTCTTCAAATGACTACGAGAAAGTTGTGGAACTAGACTTCAAAGATTTTACAATTCCTTCATTCTTTGTAGCAAGTCAGAAAGATACTCTCCAGGAAACGAAAGCGTTGAAACTAGAAGAAGCTTTGGACACGATAAGCAAAGTTAGCAGTGAACTAGCAATGATTAAAAATGTCAGCCGCATTCAAAAAATTTCACCAGAAAATTTGCTTGAGTATGAACGGAAGTCTTTAAATGAACTTCGAAGTATTTCAAAGAAACTCGAGACAATAGCGTCTGAGGAGTTTAACTTGGATTCGGTTGAGATGGATAAGAAAACTCTCCTGAATAATCTTGTTCGGGAACAGCAACAGGAGTTGGCGAGAGTTCGCGAGGCTTTAACTAATCGTGTGAGAAAAATTAAAAGATTTTTCGAAATGAAATCGACGATGAAGGATAAAATTGAAGGTATGAATGTAGTTCTTGAAGAAGCAATATTCCTGGAAGAAGACGATTGTGATTCTAGGGAACAGAAAGCTGAGAAGATGACGAGGATATTGATCGGAGGTGATGATCTTGCTGAAGAATTTGTTGATTGTATGGCGTCCTTAACAAGCGATTATCCATCGTTGGATTTAAGTTACGCGGGACAAATACACGAGCGATACCAAGCGAGAAAATCTGAGCTCACGAGGATGTTAGATGTGGCGAAAAAACAACTTGAAGAAAAAGAAAATCTGGAGGATAAAATAGACCTTTGTTCACAATGGTTGGTTGAAAACGAGAAAGATATTTTGAAAGGAGAGATTAACGATACAGATGTTGATGTTCTTGAAAAAGCTATCAATGATTTGGACGAGTTTCTGGTAGTTTTAGATGGAAAAATTGAATATTTTCATTCGTATGCCACAAGAGAACGGCTATTTCTGGATAATTTACCAACACAAGAAAAGGATGTTTTGTTGACGAAGGTGAATAACTTGGAAAAACGTTTAGCAGAAGCTCGAGGACTTGTGTTAAAGAGAATAGAAGATGTAAAAATCCAGGTTGATATTGTAAGGCATAGGAATACGGTAGATGCTTGTCAGATATGGCAAGAAAAAGTGAAAGATGCTTTAAATTCTTCTGGTAAAAGCTCAGAATGTGTTTTTACCGAACTCTCAGACTTGGTGAGTGAGGGTGAAGAATTGATCGAGAATGTGAAGTCTTTGCGACAGCGTTCAGTTGAAGACCAGGAGCTGGTTGAATCTGCAAAAGAAGTTCTTCAAACAGCAAAAGAAGTGATGGAGACTATTTCTAGAAAAGAAGAAGCGATAAAACAGCTCTCGTTCGAGGTTTCAGAACTCGAGAGTCGCATTCTTGTTTGCTTTGAGCGAAATGAGAACACTGACGAAATTGAGATTTTGAAGTTCGAGGAGGAAATCGAAAATGCTCGCGAAAGGCTTCAAAATATTTCCAACCAAATAAAATCAGGAGCTCCCCACCTTGAAGCGTTTCCTGCTAATCCAAGAGAGAATGAATTACTTCAGAGAAGCGAAGATCTTTTGAATGAAATCAAAGAAAGGAATGACAGGCGTTTGTTGGAGGAGAATCTAGAAGACTGCAAGAAAACCTTGGAGAAAGTTGAGGATATTTGCAACATGCCTGTGACGTTTTGTTTGGATGTTGTCAAGATGAAAAAGGACTTAGCTGAAATGGGAAAAATTTCACTTGAGTTGAAAGATAAAGAAGCGAAATTACAAAAGGTAAATTTTCATTTAAAACCAAATTTAGATGCAGCCCGAGACCCTCCATTTAGTAATAGTTTTTACAGCATTTCATTGACATTTGTATTTTCCTTTCAATGATAGGTGCAACCATTAGGTAATGAACGAGTGGCTGAGGTGTTTACAAGCTTGCAGGAACTTGGCGAGGAACTGGAAATGAGGGAAGAGAAGATGGCTGAGTTTCTCTCAACATTACGTCATGTGTTGAGGTCTATCCAAGAACTAGAACACATCACTCAGGATGAGAATGGAAACGATTGCGATAATGAGGTTTGATGTCACTGAATTGAAGTATATTTATATATCTTCTATGAATCTTATATATCTTACATGATCCTCGGTTTTCTCTGTAGTAAAGATCATTGAAAGATGATGATATGGCGTTGGGTTGGAACGGTTTAGAACTGTAGTATAAGTCAAGTTTAGGTTTCCCCCTGTAGTAACACTGGTTCAATATATGATTATCCTTACTGGACTTCTAGGCTATATGAAAAACAGTTTAGAACTGATAGAGCTATCCAGTATAAATAAAGTTAGTTTAGAGATGATCCTTACTGCACCTTTAGGAAGAACAGTTTAGAATTGATGGAGTTATATATATGCGTTATAGATTAGTTTAGGTTAGGTTAGCCTCTTATATATAGTTTAGTTTAGGTTAGCCTCTAGAATAAACATCTTTGTAAACAAATCAATACATATTACCACAATGAAAGCGCTCATAATTTAACAAACTCGTGCACTTTTATGGCTTAATTCCCGCATTTCTATTCTCTACGCAGGAAAAAAGCAAAAACCTGAAAGAAAAAATCTCTCAAGTTGATCGTGTTAAACAGAGAGTTGATCAGTTATGTTCGCTACCTCAGGAGGAGAAGGATGTTTTACATAAACAAATAAACGCGTTGGAAAGCGACATTAAATTCAAAATGGAACAGCTTGAAAATGGAAAGAGATCTAAAGGGTTCGGTCGTAGACTTGAAAATGTGAGAGATAAGATCGCAGAAATAGAAGAAAGGTTGAATGAATTTGGAAATGACAGAAAGGTAATTGATGTTAAAAAATATTGTGCCACCGTTTCGATCTCTATACGAATGCAAATGCTTTTTTCATTCTGTGATCAAAATTTAAGCTGAAAGTTTTTTGAAGAGGTCTAATCATTCGTCCCTCGAGCTTTTGTCTTGTTAAAAAGGTATCACATTGGAGCGGTTTATGTCACAAAATATCAACGCACTTGGCTAAACTCGCTCAAAACTTTGGCCAATCTAAGGGGTCTTCGTATCGCCAATATTGACAGCTTTTTTCAATGCGTCGAAATAGACATATATCTCAAGGACGCTAAACTAATTCGTTTCTATTATTACAAGTTGAGTGATTACCTGCAGGTATTTTAACAATTAAGCTAAAATGCAAATGAACATTACGCAGGTGCTTTCTATATTGGAAAAATCAAATGAAAAGCAATCAGCTGCACACACTAATTTCTGTCCCTGACTCGCTGTACTCTTCTATACGGCAAAAGGTTGGAAAACCCTCCCACAATTAATAGTTTTATCGTTTTGTCCCGCGGTATACTCGACCTCTCGAATTTCAACGTGCGTCCAAGCACATTTCGAAAGCGCGTTCAAAGTGTCGAGTTTCATTTAGTATAAACACACGATTATTATTCGCTAGAAAAAATCAGACAACTTCACGTTTCGCTTTCGGATTTGGCATGAGATGGTTCCTTTAGCCAAGCTTCATCTTATTATAAAATGTTCAAAATGTTACAGTACAAAGATTTTCTGTGAATTACCTGATGGCGTAGCCTTGACAACGGATACGCTTCTCAGTTGAATAGACGTGTTTGTAGCTTTCATAATTTACATATTTTAAATACGGTGTGTCTGTGACATGCTTTTATCGTACGTTTGAATGGACTGCGGTGCTCTAACGCGTAAGCAGGTTATTTACCAAGGGAAAGGCTGCCCAAATCGGACGGAAAATGTCATTGGAACCCGGTTTTGTTTTCAACATAAGACTATCTAACAAGCTATAAGACTTTGGCCTTTTTACAATTGGATTACCTTTGACATACTCAGATCAACAACGTTTGTCTACTTCGTCTAGTGGATGTGTTTACAATATATAAGACGATTAACATTTCAAGTTTAGCGAATATATACGGCGCTTTTAAAATGGATTATATCTCGGTTTCAACTGATGTTCGCTGAATGGAAGCCGAGGGAAATTATTTTCACACGTTTTACTTTCAGGCGTTTAGTGACCAATTCGCGCTTGTCTCGGAAGAGGTTGGCAAGATCGTAGAGGAAGGGGAATTGCTAGTATCTAGCGGCAACACAGACGCCGATGGTCAGCTATCAGCGAAGCTTCAAGATGTCAGAAGACGTTTTTTACGGATACAAGAGCTGGTGGAGAAACAGGACGATTGTTTTGAAAGATTCGAGGACGCCGTCGCGGAGTACAAGCAGAAATTCGAGGCAGTCAAATGCAGGATATCGCTGTCCGGTTTTGAGCAGCAGACCGGAGTCCCGCGTTCCTTTGTTGAGGTAAATGTCTCGTTGTATGTGTTTTGTGTTAGCCATGTTCTCGCCCTTTGTGTGTGAGATAGCGTGTTGCGCTTTTATTCCTGTGGCGTTAAGCAAAGACGAGCTTGGTCCGGTGTGTGCATGGAGAGTTCGTCGAATATGTTCAACTCTACGGTGTAGTTTGTGTCTAAAGACTGAAGCATCTTGCGATGTAAACAATTGGTCGTTTAAAGCACAAGTGTTTTGCCAGCTAATCCGCTTTCACACAAGCAAATTTTTCTTTATGATTTGATAAAAGTTAGTGTTTGATCTTCTGTCAAGTGTATTTGCCGTGACAAATTTATCACAATTTCCAATTGTTAATATATATTTTTCATGTATTTGTTCGAGAACGTTAGCCTGCGAAAACCATGCAATACAGAGAAGAGTCCTTTTCTGATATGGTTCTGAACTAAATCATTGGAATTCACGGTGAAACACTTTCTTTCGTTTCCTATTGAGGGAAGGCTACACATCGAGTGTTTCCTGTTTATTCTTGGCTTGATATTTGTCTATATAAACGTGAGAAATATGTGTGTAATAAATACTCCATACCCTAGCAATTCCAATGTTTTTGTTTGGTCTTTTTTCAGAAGTCCTATAAACAGTGCTAGCGGCAATATTTCCTTTCAAAAATAGAAGCGTATATATACAAGTTTAAATCCTAAAAAGCTTGTAAAACTTCTTGTAGCTATTTGCATAACATTGTCCAACTTTTGTCTTCATTTAATGTTTCATATTAGGGAATATTTGCTATTTTATTTTAAAGTGTGGTTCTACCATTGTTCTTTTGTGTTAAAAATAGTGTGTGTCAGCTTAGAATATCATGACAGTTTGTTATATGTTCGTGTTTATGTACATGCAATATCATCCCTGGACTGCATTGTGTTAACCCTTGACACGCAATCGCGAAAGATGTTGGGCTACTGTGTAAAACAAAGTTTCGTTTCTGTAACCACGTTATAATTCTTGGTGGCATGCGAGTGCGAGGAGAGGTTAGCTGTGGTTTTCTCGGAATATTTGCGTTATACTTCCATTGCCACCCATAATTATTTGCCCTATACTGCCTTTTCGCAGACAAGACGTTTTTAAACAAATACAGCCCTCCAGCAATCGAAATAAATCTAGCCTTAGTTCAGGGTTTTCCAGATTGGATTTTAATGATTTTTATGTTATACGTTTAGAAATGATTTTGTATTTATCCACGTTATCTTGTTGATAAAGGACAACAGGTCTGCGATAGTACAAAAAGCATTTTCATTCCCATACGAGGTCCAATATTATTTTATGTCAAATCAGATAAACTTTGATATGATGTGATTGGACACAATAAACTTTGAAACTGGTTTCTTTCCATTATGAATTTCACGGCAATCTCTTCTGAATGTCAAAACATGTGGAAATTTTAATGAAAAACTCGAGTATAATTAGGGACGCGTGTCTGTTCATATAATTAAAATGAATTTATAATGCATTTCATTAATACTAATACACTCATACATAATACAACATACAAGCCAACATTTAGGGACAATTCTATTGGCTAAATACTTACATGCATCAATCCCTAAGTAGTAGGATCCAGTGTTACTACAGGAGGAAACCTAAATTAAACTAACTTTATTTATACTTGATAGTTTATCAGTTCTAAACTGTTCTTCCTAAAGGTCCAGTAAGGATCATCTCTTATTGATCCAGTGTTACTACAGGAGGAAACCTGACCTAAACTAAACTAATTTATACTATATAGTTCTATCAGTTCTAAACTGGTTCTTCCTAGAGGTCCAGTGTAAGAATCATACTAACCGAATCATTATAACTTTTCTAGGAGAAAAATGAACTAACTTTGCTTGATGAAAATTTCCGAACGCTACAAGCCCTTGGTAGAGAAATTAGATCGTCTGTTTCAGAAGAGCAAAAGAACAGAATAGATTTGTTGCTGAGCGAGCTTAGAACTTCGTTAAAGATGGTAAAGGCCAGGATATCTGGGGAGTTAGTGGATGAAAATGAACATGTAGGGGAAACGAGGGATACTAAGGGTTTCGGTATGGATATTAGTCACGCTGTGAGGAGAGGGGAGGATCGCATGATCGGTGCCATGCGGCTAAGTGATGATAGCGATGTGGATAATGAGGAACATCGTGTGTTGGCAGGTAGTAGTGATGGATCACAATATGGATCAGACAGTGGTATGGGGGACTCTCTTATGAATACTTTCGCCAGTGAGGTCACTGACGGACCTAGTAAGACACCCACAGTGTCGCCAGTCCATAAAGAAGGATGCTCTGAGGCATGTGGAAGTGTGGATACTGTATGTGAGGATTCTCCTGTGAACAAGAGCAGGATAACAGAGCAATTTGCTCAAGCTAGGTCTGGAAAGTACAGTGAAGGCAGACAAGATAACCCCACACGGACATCGCAGGATATCGATCTTATAGGCCAGGTAGAGATTTTGGGTAGTATTGATGAAGTCTCGCCCAGTGACGCGCCAGGAATACCAAGAAAGAACGAGCAATCTATGGCTGGTGTTATTCAATCGCATGATTGTGTCATGAATGCTATAGGTGATGATGAAAACGTCGATGACGGGAAGTTTGTACTAAAAGACATCACTCAGAATGTACCTCCGGTGAGCGACGGTGACACGACTGTTCCGAGTTCAGATCTCCCGAGGGACGGTAATCTGATGAAAATTGATGAAGATTCTGATAACGGTTCCTTAGAATATCTTGTTCAAGATAACCTGTTCAAGATGATTCCTGGAAAAGATTCGCAAACGCAGAATGACATTAGGCTGGATAACTTAGATGCTGAAACAGTACAGCTCGAAAACACAGATCAGGCAAGCTCTGATTCACGTCCGTTCATTCCAGTAGGATTCTTAGAACCAGAACCTATTACCTTCGACAAAACTCAGGAGGCGTCCTCCCTCCCGGATTTTAAGCCCTCCGATCAAACACCCTACGAGATGAAAATCTCGAGACATTCACTTCATGACATATCACCCTCGGAACAAACTGCCTCGGAAGATTCGCTCTCCGTGCAAACATCCTCGGAAGATTCCTCCCCGCAGAAATCCCCCCAGAAATCTCGAGTTCACGATATCGACGAAGAGCTACTGCTGCGAAATCGTGCAATCCAGGATCTCCAGCCTGATGAAGAGTTGAGAGAGGGGCAGAACTTGGAGACGGAGTATCCCCTTGTCTCCTCTGCCCCTCCTCCCATGAAGACCGTTGAGGAATTCGTAGAAGAACCTGATGAGCTGTTTCAAAGATTGGTCGACATCGAGGTAATGCTAAAACCACAAGAAAATGAAGAAGAGAATCTTAAGTCGGCGCTTCTGAAACATGTCGTAAGTACTTCATATTATGTCTATTATCCAAGGTATGATAGAAGCAATATATCAATTCAATGTTGACAGTCATGGTTGACAATATAAGACTTTCTTTAAAGACAGTTTTTGATCCTCTCAAACTTAAGAAGCTTCGTTGTATTCTAGGCACTCTGTGTTGAGATGAAAAACATTCAAAGCAAAATAAACACCATCAACAGGCATGGGCCGTACTTCATGAAGAAAGCACGAAGTGGCTTACGCGAGATCTTGGAAGAGAGACTGCGGGCTCTGAATAAACAGTGGGACAAGCTTCAGGGTCACGCCACAGCGAGACAGAAAGATTTAGAGCAACTTGTGCAAGACAAAGCCGATAACGAGTTGGTCGCTGGTGAAGACAGTTCTTTGAGTTCTCTTCGAAATAATACAGCATTGCTTAGTTCGCTGTATTTTAATACCGAAAATGAGGTAAATATACAATAAAAATTATAGAGGTTTAGTTTGAGAATAGTTTAGAAATGATAGAAATAATCAGTGTAAATAAAGTTAGTTTAGTTTAGGTTCCTGTAACACTAGATCAATAAGAGATGATCCTTACTGGACCTCTAGGAAGAACAGTTTAGAACTGATAGAGTTATCCAGTATAAATAAAGTTAGTTTAGTTTAGGTTTCCTCCTGTAAATCCATGATATGATTCTGTAAGATACTATAATCTAAAAAGGAATGATTCCTATTCAGAGTATCAAGCGCCTGCTGAACAAACTCGGTTTATTCTCTGGCCAATGCGACGAGGAAGATGACGAATCACGCCGCCATTTTGATGACGATTTCCTCGACTACCAATCGGCCTTTCACGATCTATTTGAATGGTTAACGGCCGTGGAAGAAGAAATTGAAAGTGTTTCCACTTCGGAGGGTGAGGTGAAGGAAATAAAACAGCGCGTAAAGTGTCTGCAGGTAAATCCATTAAACCAGAACTAGATGACATATCCTGTCGAATTGTGTGAATTCACTTTCATTCCTTTTGCAGGATTTATACCTAAAGATTCAGCACAAGAAGCCACAAGTGAACGAGTTGGTGAAAAGATCTGAAAGATTCGTCGATTCGTCCAGCGAGGGCAATGAAGAACACGTGACAGGATTACGTAATCTATGGCGTGACGTTATGCTCAAAGCCTGCTCGAAGTTACGAGATTTACAGAACGTACTTCATGTTGTGATGATGAAGGCATTGAATGTCAACAATAAAGAAGACTTCTTAAAAACTCTGTCAGAATGTCAGCGCGATGTTAAAGATTTGTTGCAAAGGTTGCAGGAGTGTTGCACAGGCGATACAAGTGATGATCCCGCAGTTGCAGCAGCCCAGTATCAGGTATCGTGATTCTCTCAGACTTTTCTCAGACTCTTAGGCATAAGCGTACCCGTACTCACTCAGTCGTAGCCTTGAAATCTTAATGTCAAAGAAAGTGTGCAAGTTGAAGCATCGGAACATCAACTCATAGCTCTTTACAAAGCTTTGAATTGTTATTGAAAATGTTTTTCTTTCCTGCTAAAGGTGTTCGCCTCCGAAACTGACAGGCTAACAAAACTTTTGGACGTCTTGCAAACGTCTTTACATGTTGAACAAAATACCACCGCTTTGAAAGAACTTTCTGATCAAATGACAGTCGTGAAAACTCAACTAGAGTCGTGGTGGAAGAACCTAAACGAAGCTGGAGCTTTGGAAACTATTGTGGTAATTCTTTTAGTAGAGTTTCAAGAGAGATTTAACGTGGAATATTTCAAATGAACCGTAATATGCCAGGGCTTGCCTTTGAGTTTTTTGTGTCTTCTCCGTAGGAAACCGACACAAGGAGGGAGGTCAACGTGTCAGAATCAATCCCAGAAGAGCTGAGATCACCTCGAAGCAGACCCAAGACTTGGCCTGACCACAGCACCTTGCTAACGCAGGTTCTGGAAGAGGTGAAGAAGTTCGAGGATTGGTTGAAAACCGCTGAAGAAAACCTCCAGATTTTCATCGGAATCGCTATTCCACAAACTCTGAACGAAATGAAATCAAAACTGAAAGAAGTTCAAGTAAGTTCCAGTATATTGGAATAGATTTCAGGAAAAGATTGTCCAACAAAATTGTTATGATTCTTTTTTCGTGTGATGGCATTAAGTCCAGAAAAACATAATCTGTGTTTATGTTCTTCCCAGCTTGCAGCGAGAAACATCAACAACAAGATCACCGAAATGGAGTACACCCTCGACAGCCTAAACACTTTGAAAGACGAGTCAGGATATCCCGAACTCTGTGAGAAATGTCAATCCTGTTTAACCCATGCAAAGGAACTGAAGTCTCGCTCAGATACACGAACTGACGAATTGAAAGAGATTCGCTACAAATGGGAGCTGTTTGAAAGCCGCTTTGCGGAGATGATTCATTGGCTGGAAAAAACTCGAAGTATTCTTATTCTACCTTTGAAAGAAAGGGACGAGGATAGCGTCGAATTTGTTTTAGGGAAATTACTAAAAGTTCGCGAAATAGAAAAGAAATTATCGGAAAAGGTATGTAGTACATGTGATTGAATCAAACTTGGATATGCAGGTTCATTATCAACTGGTGCTTGATTTGTTTTATTTTGTGTTTTCTCGACAGGTTATGGTGAAAGACGACCTTCTACGACAGGGGGAACACGTCCACGCGAGGACCGAGGCCGCTGGAGTGAACGTGAAAATCGAACAGTTGAGGGAGGAGTGGACCGGGATTGAAAGTGACCTCGGTAGAGAGCGCGGAAGGCTTGAGAAAGTCATGAGACTATGGAAAGATTACGATAGAAAACAGGAGGAAATGTACGATTGGCTGACCGGCATATTGTCCTCGTTGCGTGACCTGGAACATCGTGATAGGAGCATTGAGGTTGTCAAGAGACAAATCGCCTTGATCCAGGTGGGTAAAGGGGGAATGATATGAACATGTTCACTCTGCATTATCCTATAGTATCTCTTCCTATCGTGGAAATATCCCTTACATCTGCATCCTTCTTGTTATCACTAAAGAATTGTCCTGTTTTTAGAAACACCATGATGAAATCGACAACCACATCACTCTCAAAGAGTCAGTCGACCTCTCGTTTCATTTTCTCGTAGACAACATTCAAGGTGATGTGGAACGCCTTCAAGAAAAACAGCAAAAGTTAAACTCTCATTGGCAAGAGCTTCAATCGTTGGTCTCGGACCGTTTCGATGAACTGGTCGCGGTGGAGTGGACACTAGAGGTGGCAGACATGACTGCTAACGTCGATGAGTTGAACGTTTGTGTGGAAAACGCCAGGAGATTGGTGCTTGCGAGAGTTCCACAGATAGGTAGCTCGTCTTTGGAGGAAATCAAATCATTGGTGGCTAGTTATCAGGTATTTTCTTGTCCTAATTAGTGAGTTTTATTAAGTATCTTAATCAGTGAGTTAAGTGGTGGTCAGCTGTGGAGTGTGATTCTTTGATAAGAAATTGTACATATTTGCAACCAGGTTTGCAACCAAACACAAAGACATTCAGCGAAGAACTAACTCACAAGGCTTAAGTTGGTAGTTAACTTTCGAATCAAACATAAAAATTTTTATGTTGTAAACAATTCGCCACTCAAACTCTAGTCATAGAGGATAAGCTTAACCTAAACCTTTTTACAGAATGCTAAACGAGAATTGCGCTCCAAACAAGAAATCGTCGATGGATTGAGGCGAAAATCACGAGACGAAAACATGAAGGATGAGAAGTGTACCTCTTTAAGACAGTCGATCGCGCAGCTCGACGAAGACTGGAAGAGTGTGACGTCATTGCTTAACGAAAAAGAGGAGGCCGTTAAGATCTCGTTAAATAAATGGATGGATTTCCAACGGCAGCTGACTCATTTGGTTGACACGGATTCGTGGTTCGCAACAAGGGAGGCAGCCATGTCAAAATACCAACATATTTCTACTGAAAAAGATAGAATATCGCGGTTAGAGATTTAAGGTAAGTAAATATGAGATTACTAATATACTTCTTGAATTTTAGAGGATTTTTCCAGGCTCTCCTATAATATTGTACAACAGGGTGTATAATGCCTTCCTTGTCGTTCTAACCTGACTGAGAATTTCCATTTCATATTGTTGTGACATCGTCATTTAGGCTATGAAAGGTTTCCTTGTGACCCAGAAAATATCAGTCACAGAATTCGTTAAATCTGCTCGAGGCCTTCTGAACGAGGGCCTCTATGACTCCGAGGAGATAGAAGGGATCTTAGGAGACATCGAGGAACGCTGGGTGGATATAAATACAAAAGTCAATGACTGCGAGGAGTGGTTATCTGAAATGACAACCAAACATAAATCCTGTCGAGACTCTATTGGTTCGATTATGAGCTTCCTGGACGATGGTGAGATGATCTTGGAGTCGTTGGCTACATTTGATGGTGATCTTGACAGCTTGCTATCACAGAAGACAAGACTCTGTGTAAGTTCAGAATGTAGTTTGTTTATTAATACGCCACAAAACCTTGATCTAATTTCTAACGTATTGAAGCATCTGCTCATTTTGAGGAGAGCTCGATGAAGAATGTTTTTACAAATGAGATTTTACTAGCCCAGATATGAGGTCATAAGGAAAATTGCTATTAAGTTCTCTCGTGTGTCTTCTGGTAAAAATTCATCCCATCACGGCATATCCGGTGTCTTTGACAGTGTAAGAATGCATGAAAATTGGATTTTCTGCAACAAATCGTAGTTATATTTTGTCTAAAAGTGGGCTAATGTTTACTTCTAACATTTCAACTGTAAATTTTATTTCAGAATCTTGAGAACGAGTTGAATGATCTTCGTCCGACTGTTTACAATCTAAACAGTATCCTGGTTGAACTAAACAACGTCTGTGATGAGAGTGTCTTGTATGAACTGGACAAAGATATTCGCGAACTGAACCTGAGGTATGGCAGCGTTGCGGAAAAGATTAAGAATCATAAAATCCAAACGGAACAGATGATCTCCGCTTGTCAGGAGTTCGATAAAGACTGCGCCGAGGTTTTGGCATGGCTTGAATACCAGGACAATGTATTGCATCAAGATTTGGAACCCGAAGAGCAAATATTGGCTTCTGAACTTGCCCAGTTGAAGGATTGTGAGGTTAGCTCCGAAAATTTATAAAGATTGTCTTGTTTGAATTTTGAATGACATATTACTGCATACTGTAGTGATGATTGTCATTTGTCATTTGGCAATACCATTCTACAATAAGCTGTTGTGGGTTGTGTTTAAAATACCTGAAAAAAATATCTCGAAATCCCGATCGTATTGAGCTGTGTGCATTTATTTATCTATTTATTTCGAAGCAACTTCAAGAAGCGTTGAACAGACAACGAGAGTTCTTTGAGACTGTACGAAATCGTGGCCAGGAATTGAAATCAAGAATGAAACAAGGAAATCTGCATGTTTCTCCAAAACTAACAAAACTCACGAGAACTTTCAGTGATTTTGCCAACGCTTTAAACCAGAAACAAGAAAGGTAGGCAAAATGAAATTCAAGTTTCATTTAATTTCAAACATATTTTCTTTTTTCGTTTAAGCGCTAACTTTACTTCTTTCTAAAGTTCTTATGTGAAATGTTGAATTCTATTTGCAATTGATCTGTTACCAGGTTGAAAGTGAAAACCAACTCATGGCGGGAATTCTGCGCTAAATTTCAAACCCTGGATGAACGTGTTAAAGAGAGTGAGAAACAGGCTTATACGACTCGATATTGCGATACGAAAGAACATTATAGATTACTGCAGGTATGCCAAGATCTTGTTTTCCACCTCACTCTTCATTCCATGATCCTCCTGACCAGCTCTCTTTCATGTCTTCTTATTACGTGTCCATATCATCTAATATCTCTGACCAGCTCTCCTTCATCTCTTCTTATTATACGTGTCCATATCATCTCAATTCTCAACCTTGCTTTCCACCATCTTCTCTGCAATGTCTACCACCTCACAACCTCTTCTTCTAATCTCTTTCTTCCATGATGCATCAGCTCTCCTTCATCCCAACACACCAACCTTCCTCTCAAAAGATACACCTACATGCGGTAAACCTTTCATTCTCTTCCAGCGACTAATTCGTGAGGCAATCCAAATGCGCCCGGAACTGGAGGAATTGATAGAATTTACTGAAGAACACTTCCGGGACAAGGAGTCTGAACAAGGGAAGAGTGCCCGAAACGAAGTGGAAGAATTACGCCAAAGATTAGAAATTCTCACAGCCGAGTTGGATTCCAAGAAAACAGAAGTTGAAACGGTTCAGAAACTGCAAGCGAAATTCCAAGAACAATGTCGACATTTGAATGCTGTGTTGCAAGATACTGAAGCGAAGTTGAGGAACGAAGATGATGTCGAACATTTGCATGAGCAGGAACAGTCGTTTGAGGTAAATCAGTTTCCATTGATTGACCCAAATCAAAGCCAGGTTGTCTGAAATTAATATATCAATATTCAGATAGGAATGTTCTCGGGTGTTATAAATGATCAGATAAGGTTATCTGTGGTATATGAAACTTAAAGCAATCAATACAAGACCGTTTGTTTTCATCTCCCAAAGGAAGAAAATTGCATCTGATAAACCCACCTTTACTTATTCAATTTTCTCTCCAGTTCTTTCAGAGCAACAGCGAAAGATACCAGGAGGAGTTGTTGTGTGCTCAGCGTCTGGCCGAAACTCTGGATCAAAACAAAGAACGTGGATGCAAGCACTCGCGCTGAGGTTGAAGGCAAGTTTAACGATTTAAAAGTGAGATGGGAGAACACATCCTGTGCTGTTAGGAAACACAAGGAGACTTTGGATTATCGTCTCGTGAAGTGGCGAGATTTCAAGCGGAAACACAAGGCATTTGTGAGTTGGTTGACTGAGTTTGAGTCCCGACCAGGGCTTCAACCTGTCGCCTCGTCGGATATCACTGAATTGGAGAGTCAAGTTGAATATGTTGAGGTTAGTATGTGCTGATTATTATGCAATGCAATAGCAATCTTCTCCATACCATACCATACCATACCATACCATACCATACCATACCATACCATACCATACCATACCATACCATACCATACCATACCATACCATACCATACCATACCATACCATACCATACCATACCATACCATACCATACCATACCATACCATACCATACCATACCATACCATACCATACCATACCATACCATACCATACCATACCACACCATACCATACCATTGTATTACTCTACTCCTATTATGCCTCTCCTTCATTTATCATTCCTAATTGTCTTGTTTGTTCCGACAGGCCTGTCGCAAAGAACTAGACGCTCATCAAAGCGAATTTGATCTTCTTCACACTACAACTGAACAATGCTTCACCAGGTCCAACGACACGGTAAACGACGCGGTTGAAAAGGAATACCACAACGTCGAACAACGTTGGGTTCGAGTCTCCGAGTGCGTCGCATCGAATCAACGTACTCTGGAACTAACCCTGGGTGATTGGCAGGAGTACACCACCGTTATGGAAGATACTATGCGTTGGTTAAGACAAACAGAGCTTTATTTAAAAACGTGTAGTGCAGTGACTTTATCTGATGTGGAGAAATATTATGAAAGACTTAAGGTAAGATCCTAAGTTATGTTGACTTGACCAGTTTTGATCTCCTTGAGGTCCAGTAAAAATTATTTCATCCAGTGAACCAGAAGAAAATTCTGACTGCATTATGTGGAAATTGAATATCTCGCACTTTGAATCATATTTTAGGAACTAAGCACTGAAGTTGAAGAACGCCGACCGCACTTGGAACTTTTGACTCAGCGAGGAAAACGTTTATCGCGCATGTCCTCGTACGCTAACGCTGACCACATCAATAACCAGGTTTCTGTCATGGGTACGCTATGGACAAACGTATGCACCTGCCTCTCGACTAAAATGCACCGCACGATTGATTCTCTACATTACTTACGAAGGTTTATGGACAATTTCGAAAGCTTGTCCGCTTGGCTTCATCGCCTCGAGGGGATACTTCGCCGTGATTGGAAACACTTTTATTCTTGTAGTCCAGAGGAACAAAGATCTAAGATTAAGGTTGGTTCTTTTGTGGTATCTCTAGCGTCGGTTGTTGTTGAAAGGACGGATAACGTTATCCACTTTCCTCTGCAACCAAAAGCAGGTATTCTGCAGCACTGATCTTTCGTGTTATTTCAGGCATACCGTAAAGAAATCGAGAGCCACGAAGCTCAACGAACGTCAGTCAACGATTCGACCTTGCAGCTCATCGACAAAGAGCTTGGAAACGAGCTATTACGTCATATCATGCAGCAACGTGATACGCTCAACGAACGCTGGGAAGCGTTGTGCATACAGTTGGGCATTTCGTACAAAAAGGCCGAGCAGACGAAGTATTCTCTGAAGTTGCTGGAAGCACAACTTACACAGCTCAATAAATGGATGTCCAGTGTCGAACGACAGATCACGGAGATCAGTGGGGAAGTGTCATGTGATATAGACGAGCTGAATCAGCAACTTGTTGATCTGCAGGTGAGGTTCACCAGAACAAGTATCATGAACTAGCCGAGAGAACGACTATCATGAACTGGGCAGTTTAACAATTGCAAATTGAGCGCTATTGTTGTACGGTTATACAATGATAGTTAAATGCCTAGTTAAACCTTATTTCGCCTCGAATCTGTAATGGGGTAATCGAATATTTTTTCTTTCAACTCACAGATAAGTCAAAGAGAAATCAATGCGAGATCACCAGATGTCATTTCAGTATTAAGTCTGTGTGTGGTAAGTTGGAAATACACAAATTGGAGTGTATTATTGGTCTTTTAAAGCGAAAAAGTTCATAAAAGGCACCATTCTTGATTCCTATTCTCCTATTCAGAGGTTGCAAAGTTGTGCTTTCCCGGACGATGGCGACGCAGGAGATTTGCAGATCGCCCGAGACAGTTTTGAATCGCGTTGGAAAAAGATTTCAAGAAACGTGGGTCAGTTGTTGAAGCAAAATCAGGACCGTATCGCTTTGTGTAAGGAGTTCAGAGATGATTACAAACAGTTTATAACGTGGTTACGAACGTTTGAAAACCTGGTTACGATACCTTCCGGAAGCTGTGAGGATCTGCATGAGTTAAGCTTAGAGATTTCCAGACTTCAGGTAAAGAGATTTAGTGAATTAGGTTTACTGTACTGGATTAATGTGTGATTACAATCAATATTTTAATCTGTATTATGATCATTAATTGATACAGCTGAAAATGAGTTTTTTGTACTTACATTGAATTTGATGTATTTTGCATTGCAGGATTTGAAGAGACAAGTTGGAGCAAAAGGGGTCCTCGTGGAACGCCTGTTGACACGAGGGAACTGCTTGGTAAACAACTCATCATCCAGCTCGGCTCAGTTGATCAGACAAATGATTGGGAAGACACAAGAACGCTGGTACGACATCACACAAACACTGGACGACTCCATCGCAAAGTTTCATCTTTTGTCGAAAGATTTTGTGGAATTTGAAGAGGAACGTCGCAATGTGAATGCGTGGCTGACAGATATAGAAGTTCGTTTGATTGGCTTGGAACAAGTCGGAAACGAAGGGCAGAATGAAGAACAACGCTTGCAGGAGTTAAAAGTAAGTATTCTTGTGTTAGTATAGTGTAGGTAGTATTCTATAATAAGCTGTCGTGGTTTGTGTCTAAACTACCTGCAGAAGATATCTTAAACGTGGTGGTCCAGTTTAGGTTGTATTCTATAATAAGCTGTCGTGGTTTGTGTCTGAATTACCTGAAAAAGATATCTCAAACGTGGTGGTCCAGTGTAGGTAGTATTCTATAATAAGCTGTCGTGGTTTGTGTCTAAACTAACTGCAGAAGATATCTCAAATGTGGTGGTAAATAATATTTTTTTCAGACGTTACAACATCACATCAATATGAAATACGGCTCTCTGAGTGAACTCACTTCACAAGTCACAAAGCTCAAGGGTTGCTGTTCAATCTCAGACTACCGTCTGCAGCAACAAAAAGTCGAGGAGTTGAAATTACGATATGAACAGGTATAATACATAAGGATTGTATTAATTCATATCATCTAATAAGGTGCTTATAAATTCCTCTTATTTTACAAGGCACTTCATTACTCGCTGACGCTTATGCTTGATCTGGCTGTCCCTAGTCCATTCTCCCCAGAACGCGTATCGACAAGGCTTCCCGTCGTAACGCCATAATCAAGACAGCAATATCACCCTTGTACAAACACTGGCTTGAATAGCCTAAATTCAGCCCTTGCTCTTTGCAATGGCATTGATCCATGGTGGTAGCTACTGCTACTCTAGAGGTGGTTATCGCTCACTCATCAACAATTTTGGCCATGTTCCATTCACAAACACCCGCAGTCATATCCTGTATTTATTGAGAAAAAAAGCTAAGGAATTGTTATGAAATAGGAATTAAAACTATTTGGAACAATTAAGCTCTTAAAAGCCCGTATGGGCAGGGTTAGAAAAGAAAGCTTGCATTGATAGTTTTGTACATGTTCAGCCTTTCAAATTTTTATTCAAACTTTGTAAATATACATGTAGATAGAAAATCGCGAATTTAGAAAACTGTATGTAAGTAGTTAGATATAAACAATAATAACTATAATATTGGGAAGTGGTAATTTATTTCTGACTTGTATATTAAATGTATTTTTAAAGCAGGTCCACATAGTCAGATGCAATTTTCAAAGAAACAGATCATATTCGTTTGTAAATTGTTAATACATACATTCCATGTAAGTAAGTATAAAATCTCAGCTCATATTCTTACGTAAAGACATATAATATATTTTAAATTGTACATGCTTTCTGAACTGTAACGTTGGAGTAATATAAATGGAACCTATTAAATTATTGAATATACTTCTGTTTGAGTCAATATCTATCTTGTCTGAGTGCTGGGTGTACGTACAAATCTACAATGGTTGTCTATATGGTACAAATGCGCACTTCCATCATTTACCAATTACCATCTACAATCTCATTATCTCTTTTATAAGGAAGCTTACACAAAGTATCCTTTAATCGTTTCGGTCCCAGTCTGGACTCGGGTTTGCATCTTTGGACGTTTGGCGGGAAAAATTAAAAGCCCTTTTATGAGAAATTGAAAGTTGTCAAGTTTGAATTTTCCTCGAAATTTACTGCAAATTTGTCTATTCTTGCCGCGTTTAAGCAACAATACAGCGAGGATATAGAGGTATGTCATAGAAAATTTTTATTTATTTGCTAATTTGTCCAAAATAATGCTTTTAAATTCAATTTGCGCTCGTCTGAAGCTGGCCGCGAATGACATATGTTTTTGTACTCTTATAACCGCCAAATACAATTTGTAAATTGTAATCGAAGGGATTCAAATGTTTTTAAGGTAATTTATATCAATTTTGATATAAATTGCTGCGCATTTCGTTACATTTAAGCAGTTTGAAATACATATATAGAATATATTTATTTCAAGTTATCATTATACGGGATTACGTTCGGTGCAAAATGCCGGTAATATTTAAATATAAATATTACCTAAGATTTATTGACAACAACTTGGATTTTTCACGATGGCGGAGAAAAAACAGGTTGGAATTCAAGGGATTTTGAAGTTAGGCACACGACCACAGTGTGAAATAGTGGGAAAACACGATCAAACTATTGATTTGGAACCTGAAGGCATGAGTACTCGTGTTTACGTTGGCGATTGTACAAATTGTCAGTTTGTTTTGAAGAAGAAAGCGGCAAATGTTTTGATCGAAAAATGTCAAGATCTGGTTCTAACTATGTCTGCTGAGCTCGTATCTGGAACTCTAGAAATTGTGAAAAGTTCGAAGATTTCGATTAAAATCAGCCCCAACATAAAGGTAAGCAATAATTGAGTGTTGTTTTCAAATAATATAACTGTATTCTTTATAACAGCAGGAAGCAGAACAAGACTTGTACAAATAAATTAACTCAAAATCTCTCAGATAAACCTATGAATGTAGTATTTAATTTTTGCTCATATTATTGCTAATATTTAATGATTTTACTCATCTGTGCAAAAGTTTTGTATAAAACTTGCAATGCATTTTATTGCTTTTTTTTTAAATTTAAATACCTGTAAATCTTAGTGGATTTCAGGCCATTCATATTTAATTTCACCTCATCGCATGCTGAATGAAGCACTAATTTAAATTTTCATTCTAGATTCCAACAATAACAGCTGACAGCACAACAGGACTTCAAGTAATTTTGTTGGAAAATGAAGAACAATTGGGGAGCTTATATTTCCACGAATCATCAGATTTAGCCATCACAGTGCAGGGTGTGGCGTTGAGAAGAAAGAGTATGCAGTCAACCCAGTTGCAGATGCCTCAGGCAACCGTCAATTTATTGCACACTGGGTACAGAGTGATGGCAGTGTTCAGTTGAAAACTGAAAGAGTTGTTCGCGAAGGTGTTTTCCCCCATGCAGAAGAAGAGTTGAAGGCAGGCCCATGAAAGAGATCGTCAAAATGCTGAGAAAGCATTCAAATTTCTTGAGAAAGAATACATGAAATCTAAGAAAAAATAATATGAACAACAAATGTCCTTTTATACTTTTATATTTTGATACTTGTTGTAAAATTAATGTACTGGCAATTAATTTGTAAACTTTCAAAATGTAAACTTTTCATTGTATCTGATGAAAAACACGAAATCAAATGCAAAAACACGAAAGCGAGGCAAATGTTACACAGAAATCTGAATACGACGGAGCATCTTGCCGTGACGTCACGATTAATAATCGCTTAAAACTCTAAACGATGGTCGACAGTTAACAGCAAAGAAGGATGAGCGAATTTCACTTTTCTTCTCTTCTGAAAGCCTTCGTACAATCGCATTTGTTGTTTGGGATCTATCAGTGTTTAAACGGGTAAAATTTCAAATTGGTGCTTTAACGGAATATTTGAGATATTGTACCTTTCTACTAGTAGCATCAAGTGTGGTATAACAACTGTCTAAAATAGACAAAACACTTCTCTTGAGAAAGAGAAGTAGAAAGGTACAATATAACCAGGGAGCAGCCTTGCAGCGTCTTCAAAAACTTAGCATCAAATGTGGTATAACAAGTAACAACTGCCTAAAATAGACAAAACACTTCCCTTGAGAAGGCAATTGTTATACCACATTTAATGCTAAGTTGTTTGAAGACGCTGGCACGCTGCTCCCTGGTTATATTGTGCCTTTCTACTAGTACTAGGTTTGACTGATCAACCAGCGAAAATTCAAACCGCAGCATTCCATAACAAAGACAACTCAAGTTGAATAGGCGATAACTTTACGGAGGCGAGCCCTTTTACTAAACAGTTATATATTCAGGTGAAGTCCGTTAGGCGAATTTATTCTATTTATTTATTGAGTTGGCGCAAACTAGTAAATTCGTAAAATATACTGATATTACTGTTTAGTATAAACTGATTAGTGACTGCCTTGGTACAGTTCATGCAGACTGCACTCGCAAAGTTAAAGGATTTTTTACGTTTTCGAGACAGTTCAGTCTTGTTTATTGATTTTTGAAGCAAATTCCTCAAACTACAGTAGTCCCTCGCTAACTCGAACTCGCTTAACTCGAACTCAGTCTCACTAACTCGAACTAAATCCAATTCCCCTTTGCCTTTGGATTTGGTAATGTTCTTTACAGTTATTTACTCCGCTTAACTCGAACTCGCTTAACTCGAACTTCTCACTAACTCGAACTAAATCCAATTCCCCTTTGCCTTTGGATTTGGTAATGTTCCGGCTTTACAGTTATTTACTCCGCTTAACTCGAACTTCTCACTAACTCGAACTAAATCCAATTCCCCTTTGCCTTTGGATTTGGTAATGTTCTTTACAGTTATTTACTCCGCTTAACTCGAACTCGCTTAACTCGAACTCCTCGCTAATTCGAACAAATTTTGTTTTCCCTTGGTCGAATATATCCGCTTAACTCGAACTTTGGTTTCGAATCATAGATCAGCAAACCTCAAAATGTGAGAAGATAGCATTTTAAAAACTTGAAACTATAATGTTCGCCAATACACCGTATTGAAGAAATACCGGCACCGCGTATATACATTACTATAGGAACTATCAAAGTAAAAACAATTTAATCGGTGTATAATTGCATAAATGATTATAAATTTTAAAACATTAACTTCAGTTAACTTTAATGTCCAGGGGCCGGTTGTATCAAGCCCGTTTAGCTTAAACGGTGGATAAGTCAAAATTAAATAACACTCTAACAACTCTCTTGAGTGAGTCAACTTGAATATTATGCACTGAATATGTAGTTGTAAACAGTATCTTTGTATTAAGGTTAAAAACATTTAGTTTGCTTCTTGAATAAAATGATAGACTTGCTTTCTATTTTGAACTTAACCACCGTTTAAGCTAAACGGGCTTGATACAACCGGCCCCAGCTAACTTTTATGGTGTCGCTAATTAAAAAATCAGTATTTCATTATTATATCAAGCAGGACTTTTTAAGGCTGCTTTCCACTGTCCGCGTTTTAGCACGTACGTACACGCACGTAAAAGTTTTAAATTTTTATTATTTAACATCTAGGTCAGCAAATACATATATACTAAACTATGCGGAAAACTAAGTTCTTTCGATTTATTCACTTCGTTTTTTTAAAGATAGCTTATATAAGCATTTAGACTTTTATGTGCGTGTACGTGCGTATGAAAAACGCAACAGTGGAAAAAAACAGCCCTTGGCAAATAAACGAATGAACGGCGACAATCCAATATACGTTGAAATATAAACGTAATTTAACACCAACCCCGGTTAACTCGAACAATTTTTCTTTTTCCCTTGGGAGTTTGAGTTTGCGGGGGAATACTGCACGTGTATACCTATATGGACATTAAGTTTTTTTACGTCTGCAGACTGGAATTTGAAAAAGCACACTATCTCACACACTATCCGAGAGGCCTGTTGTCAAACAGCGTCCGGTCTTGTGGGCGGCATTTTTGTGGTTTGTTTTAGAAATCGTATTCTTAGCTTATTGAAGTCAGAAAATTTTCCTATGAAAATTGAAGCCTGAAATAAAGTGAACTAAGCGTCAGGATTTACTTTGCTTATATATAGAAATGCAGTTTGAAGTTTTCCCTCCGCTTGCACTTAGATTTTTGCCGCAGACTTCAATCCTTTTGTCTTTAAAATTAATCGGCCGGCGGTGCTCTCAAAAGTTTACAATATCCTCATGAATCCGTTTCAGCAAAAGTTTGAGTTTTACATCCGTTTAAGGTTTCTCATGTGACATATATAGAGTGGTATTAGGATATATAATGTAAGTAGGTTGTGAAGCCCTTCAGAAAAGAAGGGAATTGAAGAAATAAAGAGGTCTTAAAATAACAAAGAGCTAAGCTAAGTACCTATATGCAAGGTATGTTTCCACGTCTGCATGTATTTCATATTTTCAGGTCTTTATATTTGATTGTTTTTCAAGGATCTAACATTCAATGTTCAGTCCGCAAAATATCTGCATAACTATAAAACTATACTAAAATAATAGACATTGGTTTTAGCCGTATGCAAAGGAACGATTAATATATTTGTTCATTAAACATGCACTTTTCCAGATGGCAACGAAACCACGGTTCGTGTATTTGCTCCTTTACTGCTTACTGTTGACGCCCATCGTTCAAGGTAGCACGCTTACTCAATGCTTTAGAGCTTGCAAGGGAGGAAAAAAGGCAATTCAAAAGTTCTGTAGATGGCTGAAGATTATTGGGTCTACTCCTTATGTCAGAGCAATCTGCTGGTCAAATCAGTTTGCTGGAGAAGTCGCGTGCAAAGGATTCTGTTATCGTTTTTTTTCCAAGTGATGTTTCTTACTCTCGGATTGGAAAATTGGCGACCTCGTTGGCGAATATAAGAATGTAGTTCAAGGGATATGAATTTATACTTCTCGTTGATTACTGTGTTAGCATGTATGTTATAATCTAATTAATTGTATTTTCGACGTAACACAACTTAAATAAATCTCAGGAAAGCATTATTTACTGAAAATTTCTTGAGTGAACGGCCGGCTTCAATTGAAGAATGTGTGTTGCATTGTCCAGTGTTAAAAAAAGCTTCTATATACGCGATTGACTTATGTACCACACCGTGGAGTTGCTGCTCAAAAGGTGTGGTTTTGCAACCTTCAGTAGTTTCTTTTCCTTGAGTAGTTGTGTTTAACTCCTTCCGAAAGTGTCTCTTGATCAGTGTCTCTTGCAAGCCTGTTCCACAAACTTCGTTTAAATGATATACTAATGGAACAAAGTCAAACCGGCATAAGTTTTCCGTTTTCTTAAGATGTTTCCCCGAGAAATTCCCGGAATTCAGTTCTTATGTTAATACAATAGCATTTTTCATAAATTTATTTTGTTAAGTAACTAATACAGACAAACTTAGCATAAACGTTTCATGCAATGACACGCGCAATGGCTTGAACCTCTTCGCTGTTTCAATCAATCTATTTCAGTATTCAATAGTTTTCATCATCACGAACGATATGCATAAGTTCGCTATCCTGGTTATCACCAGTTATAATAAATGCTCAGAAAGTATCCTCTAAAGAAAAAAGCAATACTTGATTACGTTTGAAAATATTTGCGAAATTTTTTACTGGGAAAAAGGAAGACGTCCAATTGACATTCGATACAAGATAAACTCGCCAATCGTTTGTAATTGATATGCTGTCTGTTTGGGATCATCGCACTATGCTCACTTGCCCTTGGCCTTTTGACTTTGAAACCTTGAGCAAGAGCAACAACATATTGCAGAGCTAAAATATCTCCAGAGTTTTATTCAAAGTAATAAAGAGATACGTTACAATATTATCACGAGAAATATCGGTTTCTAGAGCTGAGAGGTCTGACCAAATGGATGCAGCTGTGTTTGTCAACTCAGTCAGAACGGTCTGGGCGAAATTGCCTGCTGGAGTGTAATCTGAACTCATGCATGTGCTGGGCTTCTGGAGTACCGAAGACAAAACTCATGCTTATAATATCATTAATGAGCAAGTCCGGAAATATTAAGACTAGTTCTCATTGTTGAATGAGCATTATTATGTATCTTTGTTACACAAGTTATTAAAATATTTATCATTTAAATCAAAAGTACGGAGTTAGGAGTGGAATGACCACCCCCGCCGATCTGCATTCAAAGTGCATCACAAAAACATCTCTGACAACATCTTCCCAATTTCTATTTTCAGTAGCTTCTTGTCATAATTGCCTAAAATAACTTATATTCGGTCACTTACAAAGGTCAATTTGTTTTTGTGCCATCTTTATTCTTATTGAATGCATCCTTCCTGCTGCTGTAGAACGTCACTTTCAGTTTGGCTTCCGAAAGTTGCAAGTTGAGTGCATAATTGACTTTTTAATATTCATGTCTTAAACAATTTAAACAAAATTATGTGGGAAATTTAGGATCAAATGCATTAACCGAAGATAAGATCTGGCATGTAATCTCCTCTTCTTCTCCAATCGCCACATGATCAGATCGATTTCATAGTAGAAATTTGCTTTGCATGAGAGGGGGCACGGTGTGACAATGAGTCATTTGTATTTCGAAGGCTTGCTATCAGAAGATATTAGGTTTACATTATCCGTACAGGATCATATTAGTCAATTTCTGTCAGCACATCTGCATCACGTCACCACGTCTATCCTCAGATCATAATAATAAGTCGAGATTAGAGGCGCTGGAAGTGGAAACGGTGAGAAAACAACTTGAAAAACGGCGAATATCTTCTGCACATCTTTAGTCTCATGGGCATTTTTGTTTAGTTTTATACTAGGTTACTTGTAGCTGATGTAGTTGGACAATGGACATTGATTCAAATCATTCAATCATTTTCTCAAATCATTTAACGACAACAATGCAACAAAACCATCTGTCGTGTCGTGGGGTTGCAGGACACCACATGCAGGAGATTGCGTGTGTATCTTCACATCAATATGTGTCCAACTGAATTCTTAGAATTACCTACAATTTTCCAAAGCATTAGAGTTGATATGAAACAGTCTATCACCTAATCTTGAAGTAAAAACGTAAGGAATCCATTCATACTGCCATTAGTCCTTGGACCACTCATGCCGGCCTGGAATTCCATAATCTTCCTATGCCATTCTGGAAATTCATAAATGATTTATTCTGTATGTATAACTCCACTAATCTGTCACCAATCATGAACGTTGAATTAAATTAACTACAATTTATTTTCTTAAACCTTAATCCCATCTCTTCATTCTATGGAAACTCATTTATAGCCAATGAAGTCAAATTATCACCTGCAGTATTTAGTATACTTTCTTGGTTATCGTTGTGGGAAGAACGTTCCTTGCTCGGTAATTACCCGAAAACCATTTTAACTTTGTCATTTGGAAAGCTTGGTTGAAGCAAAATAGTATTTATCCCATATGCTTTCTGTCAGATTTTGTACAACGATACGAATGGTGTGAATCCGCGTTTTAAAGCGTCGCTTCACCAGGTCCAGAGACCAGCATGATACCATTAGCCTAAACACCGGAATCCCCTGGAATACCTTCAGGCATTCTCGATTGACTGGCTTGCACATGCGAGATTATCTTTCCCATCTGTGCTTGATATGCCCGTGCGGCGCTTGGCACCTCTGATATTGAGCAATAGCTGTATCACTGCGTCCTAATTTCATCCCGAAGACGAGTCTGATCAGCGCACGGAAGAACGCCTTCAATTCTAATTTACATTGCGGCATTTAAGCGTCTTTCACAGCTGTCTTTGTTGATTGGATAAATAATACCGTTCAAACGTAGGCAGCATATCGGGTTAGCGACAGGTCGGCGAAACGGTCTGCTACAGGCAAACACACGAGCATTTGTGGTTAAGATAAATTATTGCCCAAATGAATTATAGAACAATCCAACATCGCGAGGACGAATTATTGTTGGCAAACAGCAGCAAAGACAAAGGCAAAGAGGATTTAGTTGAGAAGTCGAGCAAGTCTGACGACGATGCGACGAGAGTAGCGGAGAAGGAGAAGCTTATAAACAATATAGAGTCGGAACACGCAACTTTCCACAAAGACCAACCGAAATCAGCTAAATCTGGCGATACTAACCAGAACACAAGTTACCTAAGCAGCGATCTCAGCCAGATTCGAGACCCATATGCGAGTGCAGCATCCAATAAGTGGATTTCGTTCGACGAAACAAGCACAAGTCAAAATATTGAATATACAAAAAGTGAAGTCCCGGCGCCCGAACAAAACGCCTCTACAGCAAACAATAGCATCTTGGGGCCACTTTTCAGCGAAAGCGATTGGGTGAGATTCGAAAGCACACGAGGGAATGATGCTATCGGTACAATTCACACGACTTCGTCGAGAGATGATACTGTAAGTCATGCCTCGAGGGAAATTGCGACTCATGAATCCGAAGGTAATTTGGGACTTCAGGATACGACAACAAACCCCTTCAGCAACTCAGAACTCGATCGCATTAGTTCATTTTCAAAATTGCCTAAGAATTCAAATGGCATTCCTATTAAATCCACGCTATCTTCCAATGAAACATCTGGAGATCCAAATGGAACCCATGTTGTTAATAATGGCGATGTTGACAGAGCAACGTCAGGGGAGTCAGATGAAGATGTTCTAAATTCACCTCTACCAGCATACCCTGTGAAAACCACAAGTACATCATGGTCTATGCTACTTCGCTATCCAGACACAAAGCGGCGGATCCGAGGTAGGGAATGGCGTCCTGTTATCGTCAAACTCAGTGGATCAATCCTACAGGTTTACAATGAGCATGATCCTTCAGGACCATTCCGAGAAGTTTCCTTGCAGTGTTTCTATGACCTAACCAAACCCAAGCTTCAGCAATATCAACGCAACAAGATGCACACCATTAAGATTGTTTATGTTAAATACAAAGAAACGAATAAGCTGATTTCTAAGAAAAATGTGCAGTATATTGCAAGGACCACACCTATACTGAAGATAGCCTCACCTAATCACACAGTTATCCAAGAGTTCACTGAAGTTGTACGACATGCCATGAGATCCTTGCCAATATTCAGAGATCGAGGGATCAGCCATAACACAGAGGCTGTGTATATAAATGTTCATGATACATGCACGGCTCTCATAGATGCAACTGGTTCTGTCCTGATGCTCGGAATCCTGGTACGGATATACCTCAGGGCCTTCATAAGTGGTGATGCTGAGTGCGAGTTGGTGTTGAACGACATCCACATGAAATCCAAAGAAGAAACAAGGCTCCGAGATGAATTGATGCCACAAAGAGTCCACAAATGGATCAAGTTGGAGGAATGTGATTTCCACAGCACTGTCAATTCCGGCATCTACAACCAGAATCGCTCTATCATGCTGCACCCCCTAGATTCCTGCACCTTTGAAGTGATGCAGTTCCGAGTTCGACCTGTAAAACCCCTTCCACTACTTGCGAAGTGCGAAATGGTTATCGACACACATGGCAGGGTAGAGTTGCATGCAGAGGTGAAGCTCTGCAGTGATCCTAAACTGGCGAGGTACGAGAGGAAGAATATTTGTCTATACTTTGCAATACCAGATGCATGGATGCAGTTATTCATGAAGGAAAATCGATTCTGGGGTGAGAAGAGCATCACCTCAACCAATTCCCAGAAAGCCATCAAGATGAGAAACAGGAAGAATCGACCACTAACTACCATTGAGGTCTCAACAGGTTCTGCAAGATACGAGCCTGAGTATAGATCAATTGTTTGGCGAATTGACAGCCTTCCTCTCCTGAATACCACAGCCCCAGCTGATTCAACTCATGACTTCCTCTGCCATATACAAACTATGGACTCTTCTGGTTTACCTGAGACTATAAGCCTGCATGTGTCATGGAGTATGAAGTTCCTTATACGGTTGCATCAGATACGAATGTGGTGAATTTCAAAGTTTTAGACAAGAAAATTAACACGAAAGAGGTGTCCTACCATACCTATTATACCTATGATATACAGATGGATATGCGAAGCCTTAATGGTGGGATTCATCATGACAGATGATACCTTATCAAGCCTGGACAATGACTATCAGATGGTAAGTTTTTATGACAAAAGTATTGATAATTGTAGATTATACAAGGGCTGCTTGCAGCCTGCAGTGTAATATTAATTATACGAGAAATACGAGGCGAGATTTAACAATGCAATGTCCTTTATTCACTCCTTAATTAAGGAGTGAATAAAGGACATTGCATTGGTAAATTGAGCCGAGTATTTTGAAGTATAATTCTACCTTATTATGACTGACCTGGGCAATCAGAGATTCTGTGACCACTGCAGTAAAATAGCTCCTTGTTTACCCCTTCCTCAATAGCACTTATGAGTGAGCTTCCTTTATGCTAATGTCTTCACCACCAAGCCTCACTTTAATGAAATACATTCTCCTTACATCAAAGTGAGACTTGGTGGAAAAGATCAAGGGAAAACCCAGAGAATACTATAGTTTACCACTGCCTCTAATTCATAAATTTTGTTACCTAATCCATTAACATACTGAGTGTGGTTTAAAATGCTTTCTTCAACTTATAATGAGAACAGTTTCAAATTAATAGAGCTATATATATATCCTGTATATTTTTTTGCCATATGTTGTGGGAGAAGTTTGCCAGACAAATTATTTATGTTTAATCCTCCTAAAACCAGAATATTTAATCCTTTTTTATCACAAAAAGTGTTATCATTAAAATTTCATCTGTTCCTCTTTGGAGTACCTACCATATTCAACTTTATAGTTCAACCATTAATCATGAAAAATTACTAAATAAGTGGTTGGCAATATCTCAATACGATTTATGTTTTGAGTGTTGCCAAAGTCATGAGAGACAATGTCAATGTGGTTCTATAACTATTAAAATCCACCCGGCTGGCATTTTAATAGGGTCATGAATAAACATTCCATTTCATCCTCAGAGATGATTTATTTCTTTGATTAATTAATCTTTATCTAATGTACATCTGTATATTAGAGTAAATTATCATTTGCGAACAACTCTTCCAAAACCGACGTAATATCACATCATGTGAAGCCCATGGCATGCTTGCATTAATTATTCAAGCCGAAAAACCGATAAACAATGTGTGAGAAGTATTGACTATTGTTTCGTCTATAACTAAAATGCGTCAAAGCTTTGGAAATTCATTCAATTTTAGCGATAATTTCTTTTTTTTGTCAATTTTTTTTTGTCAATTCATAAATCAAAAATGCCACAAACACTTATGAAGTCTCTAATTATGGAACGATTTGTCGTTATTTGACTCTCTTAGTCACGTTCACCCATGCACCTTTCAATCCCTTTCAAATCACCTCGATGCTCGATTAATTTCCTTTTCTGCCCTTGAAGGCTATGCACAAATTGCTCAACTAAATCATGAACGATAGCCAGCTCAGTTGAAGCATTAGAAAATCTCTCTGCTGAGAAAATAATACAAGAACTGAATGTGAAGACCATGGTTCGATTGTGAATTATGACCTCGGACATTGAAAAATAGAACTTAGAGTGAAGACTGGTTATGCTAACGCAATATTGAATGTTTTAAAAAAATTCTCGGTTGCCTTAAGAACGGTGAGAGTGCTGACAGTTCGACGCTAATTTTAAAAAAGTATTACAAGTGCCACTTGATATTGGTAAATGAAGGCATTTATCACCAAGTCGTGGACTGTCCACAATTACCACTGTTGTTTTGGTTAAAACTTAGTAGTGTGTGTCAGTGTGTCACCGCACTCCATAGTATTATTGATAAATTTTGCCTAGGTCCTCGATCAAGTCCATTCTTATCTGTGAAGTATGTTCTTTTCCCTAGCAAAAACTAATTTAGAAACTCATTAGACATCTCCTCAAATCACACGACAACAAAGTCAGTCCTCGGATCATTTATTATGATCTCTGCTATTGTCTTCTTTATTTTAAGTTTTATTTTAGTGTGATTACTAAAGCAGGGCAAGCCAGGGTTTGCTTAGTCTTAGAGTAATATTTTTTCCATTCAAATATCGCCATCTGGCGTGTGTGGTCGGATTCATTCAATTCATGTCAAGACGGGTACAGCGACCCAGTGATTTCGATGATAAAAAAATTAGACATCCGGTAGAATATGAAGTTGCAAACACCACATTTCTCCCATCAGTCGTTCCTTTACCACAACTTGCTCGCAATTCTTGGATTACTAGTTGTTAGCAAATAGTTAACTAAAGCTAAAACAACATTTGTTGTCAACATTAAACAGGAAATCGAGTTCTTCCCATCTTTAATGACCCTGTACGGCCTCATGAACTGTTTTGCAAAAATGACTGATATTTTGGGCGAACGAGATAATTATCAGATTGGAATTTACATATTTTAATTAAAAAAAAATAATTGAATAAGTCATAGATTTCCCCAACGGTAATAAATTAGTTTTCAATACGAAATACTAAAGCGGGTAAAGCGGGTATAAACAGCAGCGAGACCAGACAAAAGCATCCGTCTTTGCGCTCTCCGAAACAAAGTGACAATCCTTTCAAGTCGTGGTCGTTTTCGATACATACCAGCGTCATTATCACAATGTTACCTGGTATTGACTATTGATTAATCTTCGTGGAATAGTGTACCAGAACGTATGCCTATCCCTGGGTTTATTTACCTCTAAACAAATAAGATTTGGAGCTGATTGATCCGTAACCAGCCGACACCGAGGTCATGCTAACCGGCTTTAAAACTTGGATTGAACCGGTTTGAACTAGAAGACGAATAATCTGAAAGCTCATTGTCTTGCAGGTCGTAATCAGTTTGTAGCCATTCCATCATTTTTTTTATTATCAGCATTTAATTGGTGTAGGCTTTCTCCCAGGGTTTATTGTATTTACTGACGCCATCGCCTGTTCCATTGTCTGTTCCCGACGCTATCGTTAAAGGATTATCAGGTCGTTGCTAATATTTGCACTCGCGCTGTTTTAATAGTTTTTAATTACATCTTCTTCGGGGCTTCCGAAGTTTGTTTAGCGTATATTGACGGCTCGTAGTGTCAAAATTGTTAAATGTAAATTTTATTAGCAGAAATAGAGATTCCTAATATTGCCTCGGTGTTTCTATAGCAAAATAGACGAACCTAAATTAACGTGATTCCTACTTGATATTACTATATCAGTTCTAAGTATATAACCAATATATTTCTATAGTTTATCATCTTCTATTGATCTTCTCTCACTAAACAAAAGAAATAATAGAATAAAACATTTTGTACAGTATAGCTCTATAAGTTCGAAACTGTTCTTCCTCTAGGCCCGGTAAAGATCACGTTTAATCAGTTCGTTGTTACTGTAAGATGAACTACCCCTTCAAACATATCTTGCCCCAGCTATGTTCTTCCCGTCCCCCCTCTCCCCAAAATCCGTGATATATATATATATATATAGTCGTCCTATATATAACACATTCGCATGATTTTAATATGTCATTTTTTTTTCATTCAACAGCATCTATTGAAAGTCGGCTTTGGTCATGTTTTGGATTTATGTATACAAAAACTGATTATGCAATTTCTGACTACCTCGTGACGCATGCAGAGCTATGAGATTGACCTGCTTACAGAGAGGTTATCAGAGATGACATATGCGATATTTATGCATGTTGTGCATGCATTTTGTGCAGAATTGGACGATACGCACATGCACACTTGGTATCGTAACCATGATTTCTTAAAGCTAAAATCATCATTTTACTCCATGTTTTTAAATTAAAGTACACCAGGTCAAATACACAACCTGCAGAGTCTTGGAGACACGAAATTTCCTGATTTTTTTGACTGCCAATTTTGGTGGTACATTGAAGAACGTATAGATACGATATTTGTGTTCTTTTGATTGTTGAAAAGTTTTAGTAAAATGCATAAAGTCATATAGAGATAATATATAAATATATAGTTAATATATCAAATCGTAAATTATTCTGTATTCATCTATTCTATTTTAAATGTATTGATCCTATGAATCTAAACTTAAGGTGGCTCCCTACAATTTTTTGAAATATTGAAAACTTGTGGTTTTGATTTAAAATTTTAGCACGAGATTTCTTGGTAAGGAAAAGAAATTTCCCAGATATATTAACCAACACTCTAACAGTCAGAAATTACCCATAATCATGACGTCTTTACCGTTGTTATGGTAACAATGGCGATTCAATATGGCCGACATTTTACCTATTCATGCATTTTACTCGAAAACAAGTTCGGTTACCCCAATTTTTTATTTCATAAAAAGTTTTCTTACAAAAAAATGGAAAATATGAACTAGTTAAAAAAAATTCTATGGAGCCAAAATTATTAAAAATGAAAAAACGTGATTTTTCGTTATAGAAATTTTTTGGCTCCATAGAGTTTTTTTAAACTTGCTCAAATTTCCCATTTTTTTGTAAGAAAACTTTTTATAAAATAAAAAATTAGGGTAACCGAACTTGTTTTCGAGTAAAATGCGTGAATAGGTAAAATGTCGGCCATATTGAATCGCCATTGTTACCATAACAACGGTGATGACGTCATGCTTATGGGCAATTTCTGACTGTTAGAATGTTGGTTAATATATATGGGAAATTTCTTATACTTACCAAGAAATCTCGTGCTAAAATTTTAAATCAAAACAACAAGATTTCAATATTCTTAAAACTGTAGGGAGCCACCTTAACTCCGATGTGCTGATTGAAGTCAGGGGAAATTTATATTAATTCAATCACAATAATTATGCATTCAAGCCTTGTTGTTGGTGGTGTAGATGGTTGTGGTAGAATTGGTGTGACTAGGAAATTTCAATATAGTACCCAATTCTTGGTATGACAATGAGAACATTGGAGGCGTTTCGATAATAGGTTCTTTTCAAGCAACTTTTTTCACTTGTCTTTCCCTTGAAAACGTTTCGATCAGCATTGAGTTCACTGTGGCAAACTAACCCAGCATAATATGTGTTCCCTGAGCGGTGCCAAACGACGCCAATTTTGTTTGGAGTGAGGAGCATGGTACTAGCCACAACGTTTGGGTAAGGTCGTTAGGCTTACATGAAGTGTTTCATTTTAGTCAACACTCAACATTCAAGATGGCGGCAGCTGGAGAGTGAGCGACTAGCGGCTAAATCGAGGAATGCACATTTGCCCGACGCCATCTTGAATCCGGCGCAAAGGACTGGAACTTAGTGTGATGTTCACTGGTGTGATGTCATTATATTTAGCATGTATGACGTAACCAAAACAAATACCCCGTGACCCCGGTTGCGGGAAATTAAAATATTCGCGGGAAATATTTTGATTTCAAGATCGAAGCTGTGCTTTGTAGTAAAATGTTGAATGTAATAAAATTTTGAAGTTAAATCTTGTCTGTTGTTTTGAGTTATTCGCCTGTGCAAATGCATTGCCAAATATAAAGAAATGTAGGCGATTTTTGCGTCAAATATGAGTGATATAGCGGTAAGCTAAATTTACCTTTACATATGTGCAGGGGCAAGGGCATAACTCGATCGTGCCTTGTAGTCTGTGACGCACTTCAGTTTATTGAAAGTATTTTCTTCACTGAAAGCAGTGAAATGCAGTCTTACAGGGACCGCGGAGCAGTTTTTGGATTGGGGGGGCTAGCGAAGCCGAAAGAGTGAACCCTCGGGGGGGGGACCATACTTATCTGTTTATATTTTTCTTGTAAATACCTTCAATGAAAACATTGTTCACCAACACGGATAGTGAACACATAATTATGATTACACAACTTACTATAAGGAGTTTTTATTCGTATAATTATGGCCATATAAAAATCGCTATAAAGGAATCACATGTATTTTGAAAATTATTGGGGGGGCTAAAGCCCCCCAGCCCCCCCCCCCCTCCGCGGTCCCTGTCTTAGCACACCCACGGCGCCCCTGCCCAATTTAGAGAGTCCCGTGCACCTACGGGGCTTCTTTTTTTTCTTTTTCATCCTCTTAACATTGGGCGAGAATGGACTGGGTTACTAGTTATTAAATAAAGTGAACTTCTTTCCGAAAAACTTTAGGTTTCATTTCTCCGTCAAAATTCAAGAGAATTTACGCCTCAGACAATAACAAACTACAGTAGAGGTCACGCATTTGAATGTACCATCCAACAAACAGCTGCGAAGCACTGGAACTCAGCAAAGGTTGTATGTTATTCGGAGTCTCAACAAATTTTAGATCCCCTTACTGTAAGATCACTTCCCTCAGAAGATCAATTATATTCATGGAAAGCAGACATAAACAACAATCGTGGAAAGACCAGACAATATATCGAGACATTTGGAGGAAGATTGGATGTCGATTGCATCGATGTTCTCTTAAGGCTACACACCGCCAAAAGTATTCAAGCAGCCGTACAGCAAGAGGTCAACTGGTTCTCCAAGTCGTACCACAAACCGCAGGGGGTAACTCGACATCCTCCAGCTTCTCTGATATCCAACTTTCAGAATGCTTTATTCCAACAGGTACGATGAAATATGCGAACAACACGGTATGACAGCAATGGAGTTATCATGATATGTGTCAACCGTTGGGTTTCGTCAGATCACATCGCATGGATGACGAAGATATTGACAGAGTCCCAGAGTGACACCTACTGTATATTCCTTAACGGTGCACTAAACACCGACCCTAACCTATCGGGATTTAGAAATGCAACGCGAACATGCCCTCAAAATTTCTCTTCGCACTTAACGTCGGCCGGATGAACGTGGTACTTTTCTTGGAACTGATGATCAAAGAGGCTGTCACTGGACACTTTGTCACGTTGACATCATGAAGAAGAGATTGTCTACGGGGATTCTCTTGCCTGGCCTATCCCGAGTGGTCTTCTGTGCAGGGTGGACAAGTACCTGAAAGTCGTTTGCAAAGATGACAACGTTTCTCATTACTCGGTGTTATGCTACATGATCCACGATCATTGCCCGATGTCTGGAATGCACCGCTGCGGAGTAACCTGTGCCACTTTTACCCCTTGCAAACATGTAGCATATCTGTGGAATTGTTGTGATGGTTATGGAGCAATAGCTTGTTACAACTTCGAATTTTTCGAGCATCTCTCTACGACACATACTTGTGGCAATGCAACTAACTTTCCACCAATATTTCTTCAGACTCCAACCAGATTTGGGAAGTACTTGCGTCTTGTCGTTGCATCTTGGTTTGCATGTAATTCTGTAACGTAGAATACGTTGTCCCTCTAATTTGGAAGCAGCAAACACCTGTGCCTTCTTTTTAAGTGGCTGTACAAAACATAAACGCAACGATCCCACAACAGCCAGCAGTTATGATCAACATGAAAACATCAAGAAGATTGGCCCAACCAGTTTAAAAGAAAATTGTGGTGTTCCAGTTGTTCAAATGACTGATGATGAGGATGATCACCCAGCTTTTCTGCTTAAAAGTGATCCGGAAAGTGGAGACGACTTTGTACCACCTAAAAAAAAAGGGTGCTTACAAAAAAAAGCACTTCAATGTCCTTTGCTTGATTCCATGTTCACGAGAAATTCACGCTTAACGCCACACTCAAAAGGCATACAAACGACAATCTGATGGTAACTGCCTTGTCATGACTGTGGATTTAAATGTCACAGATAGCAGAATGCGACACTTGGCAAGGCACACAATATTCTTTCAGATCTGAACAAATTTTGTTGGAAAACTGACGGTTAGTTTTTATGTTTTTATGATAAAACTTGATGTAGAAAGAGGATCAAAATTCAAAGTGCCTTGTCCAATTCAAACCTTTCAATATGTTATCAATAAAATATCTTATTTTCAATTCTAATTAGAATTTCTGGACTGGAAAGACAAAGTGGAAGAAAAAGAGATTTGCTCGTTCACAAAGAAGACCGGGACCAAAGGAAATGTGCAATATTATCAGTGCAACCGAGGAGGATTTTACACCCCCAGTGGTACTGGAAAAAGGCGAACTAAATCACAAGGTTGGATAAATTATAATTTCAGAAATTATTACAATAAATAATTTCAAAAAGAATTTCGTTATCACACAGCAGGCGAATTAGCTGTAGTTTTAATACGCCTTTATTTGACATACTGAAAGATTAGATAAGTATTAAATAATTAAATATCTTTAATGTACTTTAGGAAGCTGCAAGATACAAAAAAACTGTACATCGACGATTAGGGCTGAAATTACCACCGAAGGAAAAGTGAAAGCTGACATCTGCTATACGCACTACGGGCACGAGAGGGATCTACAACATACTTGGATAACCAAAAGTAAACGGCAAAAAATTGCGTCTTTGTTGAAACAAGGAGTCTCACGTGACAGAATACTAAATGACATTCGAGAGGAAGCCATGCAGCAGGAATCAGAATTTACGCGGTACCACCTAACTGCAAAAAAGGATCTTGCGAATATCATGTCATCTTTTGGTGTCAGCGAAGTACAAAGGCATCCCGATGATCAGGAGAGCGTTAGAGCGTGGATCGAACAGTGGAAAATGAGCGAAAGTAACCCAGTACTTTTCCATAAGTTTCAGGGTGAGTCTGCTCCAGACGGGTTTGACTTGACAAAAGACGACTTCATGGTTATCATACAGAGTCCGTTCCAGAAAGAGATGGCCCAAAAGTTTTCCAGTAAAGGCATCTGTGTTGACGCGACGCACGGAACTACTGGATACGACTTCCTCCTAACATCGCTTGTGGTGATTGATGAGTATGGAGAGGGATTTCCTATTGCCTGGTGTCTTTCAAACCACGAAGACTTCACCCATATGTGTATCTTCTATGAAATGATAAAGCGAAATTGCGGAGTCCTGACGCCAAGGTGGATTATGTCCGATTTAGCAAGCCAGTTCTACAATGCTTGGTTAGGTGTAATGGGTGGCAAGCCACTACGTCTTTTCTGCACCTGGCACGTGGATAAAGCATGGCAGACAGAGCTGCGAGCTAAAGTGAAGGATACAGGTACATCTTGATCTTCTTCATTGCTTAATGTCATACAGGCTTTTAATATCATGGAACTACCATGGACGGTCGTGTGTGCTGTAAGCCTCAGGCGGCTAGATGATCATTGTGATAATTACTTTCAATGCATTACGTACATAATCATCATGGTTATAATTTTAACTCATTTGCAAAAGGGAATGATGCAGATGAAGCTAGAACGCGTTTTGGCATGCAGTTGCGATATTTTACGCTACTTTAAACGATATATCTTGCGGACTAATTACTGTTTTAGTCAGTTCCATTCAGAGCTATAGCTTGAGTTGCCCAACCAACTAAATGCGAATAAAGTGCGCTTGAGAAAGAGTAAAATGCAGTACTAAAGTAGGGCAATGGGTGTATTTCGTGCTAAATGGTTGTATACTTTTTCCTCCAGTTGTAGCAGCAGATATATACAAGATGCTACGTACTGTTTTACAGCAAACCGATGTCACCTCCTTCCAAGATTACCTTTCCCAATTTTTGGAACGCCTGCCATCATTAAGCTTGGAATTCTGTCAATATTTTCAAAATGAATGGCTAGGCAGGGAAGAATCGTGGGCATATTGCTACAGGAAAGGGATGGGAATTAATACCAACATGCTGGTGGAGGCATTTCATCGTGTTTTCAAGTATAATTACCTGAAAGGGAAACACAACAGAAGAGTTGACAACTGCTTGTTCAACCTCCTGAAGTACACCCGAGATAAACTGTTTGAGAGGTTAATAAAACTGACAAAAGGAAAGAGCACTAACAAATTGAAGACCATACAAGATCGCCACAACAACAGCAAAGGATTGAAGATTGACAGTGTTCAATGCGTCGACGAATCAAAATGGCTGATAAAAAGTGAAAAAGGTTCCGACACATATACAGTCACCAAGCAACACCAGCATACATGCACAGACACATGTCAGTTACGATGCACAGAATGTAGCACTTCAGTGTGCATACACCAGTATACATGCACCTGTCATGATTATCTCATTCAGCACACCATATGCAAGCACATACACCTGTTGCAACACTTTTTATCTGTTGACACCAAACAGACAAATGATATTGCAAATGAAGTTTTGAACAGTTCGCAATCGCAAGATTTTGTACCTGAGGAATTGGGACTTTTAACATCACATCTCCACATGCAAAATAAGGTGTCAAATGATATTGCATCCCTTAAACAAGGCATCAAAAGGAAACTTCTTACATTGTCAGAACAAATTGAGTCATGTACCAACAAAGAAGCATTGCAACAGTTAGACAAACAAATCAATGCTGCACAGAACGTCTTTTCATCGCTGCAAAAGCATCCATGCCTCCATCACAAGATGCAACCAATATCTAACACACCAGCTAATAAAAATATTGAAAAGCAGAAAGGATTTCGATCAACCAAGAAAAAAGCCAAAACAACCAACAAATCTAGATTGACAAAACCAAGCAAAGAAGATATCCTTTCACTCTTTCCAAACACTAATGATCCTGATGATGGTATGTAATAATAATTACCTTTTGATGGGTTGTTTCACAAGCATTGTATGGCTTAATACAATATTACTGACAGTTAACAATATGAATATATAACTTTATTTTGTAGTTCAAGAGTTGCTTAGTTGCTTTGGTGTTTCAAACAAATTAATCAAGATGGTCATGGAGACAAACAAGCCTCTTTCAGAGAAAGACATCCACCTTGACAAAAAACATCCATCAGAAGAAGCATTGAATTTCAACATAATATCCATCAAACAGTACTTAGATCAAAAAGCATGGGAAAAAGTTGTCAACTCATGTATGTTACTCTACATACAAATCTAAATAACACTATTTAGTAATGGCCGGCCATTGTCAGTATAGTGTTAGTTATCATATTGCTGAATAACCAATTATTGCATGAATAATGAATAACCATTAAGCTACGTCAATTCAACTAATATATTGTTAACAAATTTTATTAGATAATTATTATTTTTTACAGTTCAGAAATTACAAGAAGAGTGGAGGTGCTCTACATGCAACAAAGCTAGCTGTGAAGATATGATAATGTGTGATTCATGTTCAACCTGGCACCACTGGTGAGATTGAGTTACATGCATCTGCAGTGATTGGCAACTTGCAGTTGGGACTTTACCATTATATTGGCAATCAAAGCTAATTAATTAAATTAAATTAATTTCATATTTTTAGTCATACAATTAGCTTTGCACACTATTTTTATTAATGTGGCCTAATGTTAACTCATCCCCACATTTTTTACCAATGCAAAGGTGATGGCATTCTACTAAAGAATTTGTAACCTATCTCAGTACAGCATTATTTTTTTTTGTCTTTGCTTAACTGCCTAGTTTAGGAGCACAAGGACACCCTCAGTTATGCCACCTTGGACCACCAGCCTGCCATTGACATAGATGCATTAATTTTTTACCTTTCAAACATCTAGGGAATGTGTAAAAATCAAAAGTGAACATGATGAATGGTATTGTCAAATATGTGAAAATCTAAATCAGGTAGGTAGTGCACATGCATATATTATATTTCAATGGTAATTAATGATTCTTCATCCACACAAAAGAAATCATAAGGTAGACAATTAGCATTAGGTTATACCTGAACAATTGGTAAATCAACAGTGTTGCCAAGCGGAGCTAGGGAATATGGGGACTGAATTGTTGATATATTATTAATCATTAAATCATCTTTTAATTAATGTAAATACATTAATTACAGTATTAAATATATAAATATTTTATGTTCAAATTTCAGGATATGTCATCCAACTAACAATATCGAATTGACAATTAGGGAGACAATTGTCAATCATTTTCACTTGGCATTCATGTTTATGTTATTGACAACTTTTATTATATTTGTAAAGTTGTATATTTTTTGGCATTCATGTTTATGTTATTGACAACTTTTATTATATTGTAAAGTTGTATATTTTATATAATTATGTAACAATATCGAATTGGTAATTAGGGAGACAATTGTCAATCATTTTCACTTGGCATTCATGTTTATGTTATTGACAACTTTTATTATATTTGTAAAGTTGTATATTTTATATAATTATGTAACAATATCGAATTGGTAATTAGGGAGACAATTGTCAATCATTTTCACTTGGCATTCATGTTTATGTTATTGACAACTTTTATTATATTTGTAAAGTTGTATACTTTATATAATTATGTAACAATATCGAATTAGTAATTAGGGAGACAATTGTCAATAACTTTCACTTGGCAATTTATGTTTATGTTATTGACAACTTTTATTATATTTGTAAAGTTGTATATTTTATATAAATATGTATAAATAGGGAAAATTATCATATAAAGCAGCACAGGAAGCAAGCCAAAATGATGCATGCATCTTTATATACTATATCATATATTTATATAAAGTATATATATATATATATATATATATATATATATATATATATATATATATATATATATATATATATATATATATATATATATATATATATATATATATAGTATATCAAGATGCATACATCATTTTCGCATGCTTCCAAAAAGCATCCAAAATATATACTTTCATTTTATGCACTTGCCTTTTGTTTCTTTTGTTTTTTATATTTTTTTGACTTGCTCAGTGTCGAACATCCTGTACCGTAGACATATATGAACACTATATTATAATTCAGCAATTGATTGAGTCACATGACCGTGATATTATTTTACTAATCCATCATTATCCACGATAATAACCATCTATCCTCTAGTAATGTCGCCCCAGTCTTTTGCGCGGGATTCAAGATGGCGTCGGACAAATGTGCATTCCTCGATTTAGCCGCTAGTTTTCAAATCAATTGTTGCAGTGATGTTTATTTTGCAACGAAGAACCTCGTGAATTATACTCTTTTCAAAATATTACATTGTAAAGGATGCTCTATTTATTCCGTGTGGAACCAGGAACGTCTTTTCCTTCTAATCTTCATCGATTCACAGTGCTGAGAAGTTCGTTTGCAAGTCTTCCAGAATGACCAAGCTTTTCAAAGGTTTGTTCAGCATTTTGTTTATAAGCTATGTGTGTTAATTTGGTTAGAAATGTAATGCTCGCTCAAATTCGATGTAAGTTCATGTAACTAACAGTCTAACACCAAATAATGGTCTGAATCTCTGAAATCAGTTATATTTTTGGCAGTAGGCAGTTTAGTTGAGGCTGTAGGTTGCATCAGACATTCAGACTGTCAGTTCACACCAAACTACTGCTTACTGATTAGAATAGACAGTAAACTGTAATAGCATAACTAACTGTTAAACTAAGTGTTAAAAAAACATCGTATTTTGTGGATATTTAGATTGGCTTCCCCCCCCCTGAATTCTAAGCAGGACCTGCCAATAAAAACGTATTTCTCTTTTCTATTAGTTAAAAAACAATAACTTTTTTATTTTTTTCATTATGTTTACAAAACACAGTATCTAACTGATATCTCTATAGTAGTGTAACTAATGTGCCTCTACACCATGTGATTTTAAAATAAAACATGGATGGAAATTTTTTAGGGGAGGTGGGTGAGGTTGCATGCACCCCCCAAAGCCAACGCTAGAGTACGTTCAAGTTTTAGGTAAATATTATTTTTGTGTACTTATTTTAATTATTACTATTTTATCTAATGAGTTTGGAATCTAATTTGACCCTATGACAATCTAAGCAGCACGTCTCTAAAAATTTTCCTAATAAACACAAGTTCTACTATCCCTTATAGAATTGAAAATAGGTTATTCAGCTGGTAAATATTGCAAACAGTTACTGCATTAGTGTTTGCTATAATCAGGACCATAGAGTCTCATCCAAGATTGCAGTGCCAAGGCCGTTCATATTGTCTCTTATGAGTTCAGCATCTGCGTTTTCAAAATCCACATTTATACAAATACATTTTTGTTTGTTCTCTGGTTGGAGTGGTGAATCTTTGAAGCAAAATGGAATTATTTTTCTTTCATTTTGAAAGATTGTGTCTCTCTTCAATGAATCCAAGTCGTAATCTGTCAGAAAACATACAAGGACAATGTGGCGCTCCGGCTCTTCCAACTGCTTTTTCACCCATGTTTCTATCTTTTCTTTCTCAACTTCTAAAGGCACCTTCAAGAACATGAAATCACTTTTATGCTGGTCTTCTTCGGGTAGTGGAGGATTGGTGATTTTCATGCTACTTTCATCCCCCCATGCATTCACTGCATCACAGAAAGGAATCATGTGTGGTCTTTCAGAATTACTGTATAAAACAATTACGCCTAGTGCTCTTGTTTGTGGAGGCTTTTTGGATTGTTCAGGCTTTTTGGGTGATTTGGGAGCATCTTTTGGCTTCTCACTTTCATGTTGCCCAGGTTTGTCAGATATCCCACCCATTATCCTGTTAAAGAAATTAAAGCTCTATTTACAATACAGTCAAAATAATGGCAGGGTGTGGCTAAATCTGGTACCCCTGCCCAATTTTATTAGTGCTCAGGCTACCAATACAAAGGCTGGAGTTCACACTTCCAATTGCTTAAAGCTATCACAACAAAACATTAATCTGCAGGCTTTGCTAAAATCCTGTTCTATCCTTTTTTTATTCGTCAGTTTGTATTTTAATTTTTGGTCAGTTTTGGTCAGTTAATCGTTTTTTAATACCAGACTAACCAGAGGTGGGTTGACCTGGGTGCAAAGCACTAGCATGCAAATTGTTGATTTGTTAAACCCCAATACACCAACCCTTCAATTTTCTTCTGATTGGCGAGTCTTTATTAGGAGGGTAGTGAAAGGACATTCGCCTTCTAGAATTCGAAAATGCTAGGTGATGAGGTTTCTGAAAAATCTGAATACTATATGTATGGTCTAATTGGTCTTGTATGCATGGAGATTAAGGGTTGGGGTTTGCTCTCTTGGCTGTGTTGCTGAACACTGCATATACTCTGTTACCTGTAAGTCAGATACCTGATCAATAATACTACCCACTCAAATGAAATTATCAGGTATTTGGTAAAGCAATTCTAAGTCCCATCATGCATTTCTAGACACAAGGATGCAATTTCACATCTAAAGTAAACCCTCTGAAGCTTGACCTTCCGATCTTATTGCAAAATTTATGCCTTTTTGCTCGGTATTTATACCAACGTTAAGCGCATCCCATTGCTCAGGAACAGCTCGTGAGGTTGTAGCAATAAATACCAGAATCTACGTTCCTCCAATAATTTGTTTGACTTGTCAGTATATGGCTATGGCAATTTCTTGAAATTCGATTAAGCAGTTCGATAAAATTTGTTATTGGCGACCAGAGAACACACATGTTGCAATTTTGTTACATTCAGAGGCAATTGCAACATTGTTTGACTTACACCCAAATCATGTGTGAATTTGGTGATAAAACAGTAACCTGATGTTGTGTTTAAACAAGATATAAAGGACGCAACATATCTTCACGCTAATTTACCTATCGCGTTGAAGTACATACGACACCCAGTATATCCAAAAAGTGGAGTGTACCTCAATACCTACCTTGTTCTTGAACCCTGCTGACAACCCAAAACGTGACCAGTGCGTTTCTGTAAACCAGATTAACGTGTCTTGATGAAATGTCCCAAAAAGTTGGTATAAAGGTGGAAAGCGAAGGAGACACGAGAGGCGTTGTTCATGAAGGTCTCGGTAGCGCCGTAGCGGACAAAAAAACATCGGTGACGTCATGAGTACTTTGAGCCCGCGTTAAACATTTCAAATTGTGCACCAGACTTCTACGAATTGGATACCTTACCACGGGATTCTGCATGTTGCGTCGAAATGAGACTGTAATGAATTTGTGACAGTCCGAGGCGAGAGAATGCTGAAACCCTGCATGTGGACGGATGCAGCTCATAGAAGGGTTTTTTGCACTGAACATTTTGCCGCGATGTTTTTTTGCATAATTCGCGCGGTTTGTTTTAGGTCTTTATTTTTTTGCAAGAGTCAGTGCGCTGACAAAAAATAAGACGAATACAGAATGGTCGTTTATCAGGTTGCTCCATTCGTTTGTTGGAACTTATGGAACTTATTCCGACTGCTTCCTTGAGCAGAACTCTAGAGATCATATTTCCCGAAAATTGGCATCAAAATTGTTTTTAAAAAAATAGGAATTGTCGCGATTTTTGCGTGGATAAAACGGTGGTCTAAACTCCGCGATCCGCATAGCGTACCTATTTTTTCGAACTTTGTGAGTCATCCAGGCTATATATTCGGATCAGTTTAAATATCCATTTATCTTTTGAGGTCAGTTGAGTTATCACAAGTTATCAGTGGTTAATATTCCATTAATATCTCATGTCATTACATTTCAGATTGAGATCAGTTTCACCGTTGTTTCACATTCCAGTGACATGTCGAGGCCAGTGTTCTCAGCAACGATCAGTGGCAACGATCCGTCACTCCAGTATATCCAATGGGTCCAGACCACTGGTCCAGACAGACCAGACTTATAATAATATGGGTCCAGACCAGTCAGATGAATAAACCATCATGAATAAACAATAGTTTATTCATCTCAATTGTCCAGACTTATGGGTCCAGATCACCTATATAGCCGCGTTTACACTACGTGCTTTGACCTGGCCTGGACCAGACCTAGGCTAAAGGTGTGAACGTTTGTTTATCCCGCCTAGACCAGGCCTGGACCTCTAGGCTCTAGGCCACAAAACCTCACCTGGAGCACGATTTTTCTAATGTGAACGGGCTTTACCTAGTCTAGTCCTGACAAATTTTAAACTTAATAGTATGATTTGTATAGGATCCATACTAGTATTAACACTTTTCGACGTGTTTTGGGTCTTGCTTCAAGTATTTTGTCATTTATTTTGGCTCTCCAATATCATCAACAAGAAAGCAGTGTCAGTGTGAACGTGGCACATATTACCTAGATTTTTCCCACTCCAGGCGAGATCAGGGCCCCTAGTCTGTGCTCTAGTGTAAACGCGGCTTATGAGACCACCGATTCTGGAATTATCACCGAATTCCTGTTCGAATGTACGATTGTATCAATTATGATTGTATAATTATGTAAATTATTCCAACCATGTTCAAATATAGAGGAGACGCCCTTTGAGGTATTAAATTTCAAGCATGATATTGTAACCAAACGGTGGCATGGCCGATTATAAGGCGGTTCCGTTAAATGAGACTGAAAATATCAGAGAAATGGAGGAAAGACAGGCAGCTTTAAACACGGATAAGCCTTTTGAAATCCCAAAACTTAGCAAAGAAGACTGGGTGAAGGTCAGAAGATTTGATGTGATATAATACCATTATTCACGTGCTTGTTTTGATTTCTCTGTGATTTCATTGGCTATCTTTTCTGTGTTGGTTTATTTTGAAATGTATTAGTTAAATCTGTGTTGTTATTAGTTAAATTACCAGATTGTAACACTATTGTTTACCTGATTATAAATCTTCAATATCGAGATAATGGAGTAAAATCCAGTAGACAGTATGTCAATGTGTATTGATTGTCAGTATGTATACACACTGTAAACACAAGTATAACTAATGTTTGCGTTGTAATTACATTGCATTGTAGCATCTCTGATTTCTACATAATACAATTGTTTGAACTTCATACTTTTATAGACTCATGACATGCATAATAAGATGCAATACTGGGCTACAGAAAGTTGTCTGTTTTGTTTTCTGTTACCTATCAGAAAGAGATGATTTTCGTATAGGTTTCCATTCTGTGACTCATGGGCTTTTCAATGTAGATTGTCCCCTTCTCCTGTTGAAGAACCATGGAATTCCTTGGTGGTTGCTAAAATGTGTCCTTGGGGGTTTACAACTAAAATATGTCCTCAGGGGTTTATAATCAAGAGAAATGTATCTTATATATAGTCGATACATAAATATAGCCTATACATAACCTTCCTTCAGGTTAATGTTAAAGTTGAAAAGGAAGGCCTATCCTATAGTGAGGCTGTAGATAAAGTCAAAGCTGAAAAACTCATTGAAAATGAAGAAGATGGTAATCGTGGTACTGACCCTCTGATAGTTATGTTAAAAGAGTGGCCTAAATTAGAGGAAAATAAAGACTCAAAACGTTTAGCCAGTTTGGAATACCTGGTAAGATGTGGAAAAGTATATAGTAATAATGATATGAAATATACTGAGGAGGATATTTTTGTCAGCCCTATTTACTAACCTCATTTCTGCAGAAAAATCTGCATGTATTTTCAGACATTTTGGGAAAATTTCCAATATATTCTAGATTGGCCGACTGACCAAAATCATTTTGGAGAAAGATAAAGGAATTACTGAAGTAAAAGAGGGAAAAGAAAAAAAGAAAAAAAAGTACAATGAATTTTTTCGTGATGATAAAGATTCATCAAAACCTACATTACTTCATATGGCTGCTAAACTGAACTACGCTCAAGTCTCAAAGATGCTGGTAGAGCATTCCCCAAAGCTTATGTATGCGATAACAGCGGATAGTGTATTACCATTGCAGGTTGCCTTAAGAAACTTTAGAGATGATACTGCTTCATATCTCATATCAAGGATGCAGTATGATCGGTATGTAATAATTGCTTTTTGGGAGTGTTGAAAAATTTGGATGTATGAACTAGCTTATATGAGTGTAGTCAAGTATGCATTATATTTTGGTTTTGACTATGCTTTTCTTAGTTGTTTCAGTAGAAAGCTAAGTCCTTGAATAGCCATGCAAGTTCCAGTCAGAACTAACCTGCAGAGAGTGTATGTTTTATTTCTAGGAGTAATGCCTATTCTACTTTGGAAAACATCTCATTTATGATTGTTTTTTAAAAGTGTCCAACAGCTGTTTCTGCACAGTAAGGGTAAAAAACCAAAGGACCCTAGTTTTGGAGAGATCATCGGTCATCGTGATCCTAAAATGAAGGTACATGTTGCATTTTGTGTTATGAACCTCTCAAAGTTCAAACCCAACCTGCAATCAAGCCTGAGACAAGGTGACTGGATTGATCCCCAACTTTAACATGACCTAGTTGCATCACTGGATTCTGTAGCGTTGCCTGCCTGACAATTTATCTGGTTATACTAATATTTTGGTTTTCATAGACTGTAAAAACGATGAATTTCTAAAGACACAAGTAATTATAATAACTTGATATTTACATAGTGGAACAAAATTGCCAGGCTGGCTACGCCACTGCATGATTTATATATCCATTTCTGTCAACTACTAAAACCTCTGCCAACAAGAGATTTGACTTGATTTAATCCCATTACTGTTCTAGAAAACAGTTACAGCAGTATTAAACAAATTGATCGATCCTGTTTGGCCATACCTTCCGAACCGTGAAGATCGAGAAGAAAGTGGAAACAGGAATGACATTACAAAAGCATTAGAAAGTGTTCCAAATGATCCCTTGGACTATGATTTCTATTATCACATTCTTGAAACTGATGATAATGGAAATGTGCCTGATGATGATTCAAATTTCAACAAAGAATCTGTATCGTGCCTTCGACATATTGCTGATTGCAGTACAGATGATAAGGTGTATATTAGTCAATCTGCTTGACCTAGCTACTGAGGTCTTAAAGTTGAGACTAATCTGAACCATGACAAGCAGTGCTAAATTCAGTGGCATAACACAACCATTGGGGGCCCTCCATCCATCAGCCATTTGTAGCCCCCCTTTGCTCCACTAAAATTGGCTGAATTCACAACTTGCATGAACACAAAGCAATCTTCAATTGCATATATATGTGAATGGAGAATAAATCTATATTACTATGCTGAGATTACGCCTCCAAAATTCATAATAACATAATATTAATAGGCTGCCTATACCATGTCTGTGGATAGTAATTTTATTTTCCATCCCGTCACTTCACACCCTTCCATCCATACACATGAAATTTCATTAAACTATCATTTCATATCACAGGAAGCTGTTCAGCATCCAGTTGTTCGGATGTTAGCGGTAAAAAAATGGAAAAAATTTGGCTTCTGGTGGTTTTGGTAAGTTGAGGTCGATCCAGTGTGGTATTGTTGGAAGGGGGGGGGGTGCAGGCCTGTTTGTAGCCATGGAGTGTGGTGCAAGCAGTTGAGCTGTAATAAGAAACATTAGAATGTATGCTTTTTTGAAAAATCCTAAAAATTGGACCCATCCCCTTGCACCCCTCCCCTCATACCAGGGGTGCACCTGCTCTCCTTCTCCATGGTAGATCCATGTCTGCTGTATGTTAAAGCAACATTTCTTGATTATTTCATACCATTGCCTAATGTACACCGTACAAAATATTTATCAGCCAGATACCATAGTTTAATCTGTTTGTATTATACGCTCATCTTTTGTGCATCTCTTCCTTTCACCGCTGACGTACATCTCCTGTTATTTCCTAGTTTTGAGGCTGCGTTGTATGCATTATTCTTCACGGTATTGTCATTTGCTCTCATCTACGGCTCTACCCGTGACCATCCAACGAGATACGAAGGCCCTGCTGATATATTTCGAGCGCTCTGTGAAATCTGTAGCATCATTTTCTTAATGGTCCAGTTCGTTCAGATGATATTTGAAATAGCAAGGTTTGTCTAAATGTCTGAAAAGTTTCTACATTCACTGTCTTTCGTGAACCTGTCGGACTTCGAAATCAGCGCCACTACTTTAGCTTTCCAGTCAAACACGATAACATTCAATTACCACTGGCACTGGTTAGGTATTGATCACTGACCTATATTAGACCATAATATGAACTATCTAATATAGGTCAGTGGTATTGATACAGTTGATTACTTGAATAACTTGATTGTCTCCACTGTGACTTTTGTAACTATTTTGGCTCAGAATGCGTGCCCAGCTCCCTACCTGTAAGTTGGTATTCTGTGCCAGATGACTTTACTGTCAATTGCGTTTTGTGACTTGTCGTTGTTTAACAAATTTTTTTCTTTACAGAGAGAAAAGCCGTTATTTTGATTTTTTCAATTGCATCAATATATTGAGCATGATCATTTTTATCCTCTTTGTTATTCCACTTCGTTTTGTTGAATCGAATTCTCAATGGCTCACAGCTGCGATTGGTTATCTTCTGTGCTTCATACACCTCTTTAAATATTCCAATGTTTCAAGGTAAACGTTTGTATTCTTCTTACAATTTATTATTCGTAACCCTACCCGTAGTCTGTTGTATACAGTTTCTCATAATCAAAGGTGTTGTGCATTCAGAAGACCTTAAAAAATAGGGTGGCAGGAATGTTGTTGATTATTAGTCAAGCATCGTTAAACCTCAAACTGTTTTATCCTTATAGAATCACTGGTCTTTACACTACAACGATTGTGAAAATGATCATGGAAGATGTCAAACGTTTTATGCTGTTCTTTGCTGTGATATTTATTGGATTTTGTGGAACAATGTTTTTGGCTCTGAAAGTCGACGGTACCCAGGATTCGTACAGGTATGTTTTCATACGATGTTGTATTCTCAATCAAACCATCTTTTCTTCATTTCGACCTCATCCTTACCTCAAACAATCCTCCATTACCTCAAACGATCCATCCGTACATCATTCGGTCTATATCCTTCCTTTTAACCAAATTATAGCTTTTCCTCGATAATGTTGGGTGGCTTCAAAGCTCTTGTTGGACAAGGAACACTGGAAGAGGACGATGGGAAAAAGTTCGGGTAATTTGCTACACTTATCTATATCAAATATTCTCTAAAATATCCTTGTCTTCAAGGCAGTCGTTATACCATATTTGATAAGAATCAAATTTGTATTTTGTATCGTATTTTTAATAGTAATCCAACATGGGCGGTTGTTCGAAAGGCGTTGAGCCTAAACGGTGGATAAGTTCAAAATGGAAAACAAAATTATCTACTTTTTAAACAACTGAGCTGAAATATTTCGATGTAAATAGTTTAATTGTCAATAGATGTAGTACATATTAAATGCATAAGATGCAGGTTCAGTCATTCACAAGATCCATTAGAGTATTTTTAAACTTTGGCTTATCCGCCGTTTTAAGCTAAACGCCTTTCGGACAACCGAAACCCCAGCCAGTTATGTAAAGCTCTTTATAGTGACGATAGTTCTCTGGGGTTTTTTAGCTGGTTAGCGAGTGTTGTTCTCCTGGTCTACATGGGAGTATTGACGGTGATGTTGCTCAATATTCTCATTGCACAATTCGGCTTCACGTACGCCGAAGCAAGAAAGACGGCGAGAATTCAGTACGCAGCCGATATCATGCGTATTGTCACTCGTTTGGAGTACAGTAGATTTGAGAGATGGGTAAGCACGCAGAGGTGCAAAACCTTTAGGTTTATCGTGTTGCCACAATCATAATTTATTACCAGAATGCTTTTCTCGTCGGTAGGGAGGAGTAATCTATAACCTGTAGTAATCTATAATCTTTCCCTTGATGTAATGTGAAAAGCATCCCTTCCCCCTCCCTCTATAGTCGTATAGGTTTCGTTAAGGCATTTTCCTAATGTATCGTGGAAACCCTGACTTTCCTTGCATGTCATGCGGTAATGCGCAACGCAATCTCAAACCAACAGCTATATCACGGTAAGTTTCATTAAGTCGAACAATTTTTCTTTAAAAGAATTACCGAGAGAATACATACGAACCGGGTGCCAAAATGACGGACGAAGAATTAGCGGAAGGTATCTGATCATAAAACATTTTGTAGAGGCCATGCTACAGTGGTAATCGCAGTGAACTGTAAAACCTGGAACGCTAACTTCTATAGTTCAGCGTAATACTTGGCTGAAGCCAAAAATTGAAGAGTTTTTGGCTCTGTTTTTCGTTCAATTTTTATAAAAATTAGCGAATGAATGTATTTTACATAGTTCTTGACATTCCTAGATAATTTCTCTCAACGTCTGTCTCTCTCAAATGTTCAAAAACTCAGAAAAACTACCCGGCTTCAAATTTGGCTACAAAGATGGCGGCCAAGTTAGCGTTCCAGGTTATATTACAATTCACTGGTTAAACGATACAATTGTACTTTTGAGAGATGTAAACTAATGAGGAGTATTATAACTTGCATGCCATTTTTTGTATTTTTTTTAAAGAAATGTTGGAGAGCACAGAAGGGCGACATCCTTGGGAGACAGACGAGGAGAAAATTGGCAGCGTGAGGTATGGTATTGATTCAAGAATGGATAGCATGAAATTCAAGGGTCGTGGAATGACGGGAAAAGACTGGGACCAGTTGTCAAATAAAACTATAAAAATCCATTTCTCGGTTGAAACAACTCGATATATTGTGAAATATACTTTTTATTTCGGTCAGAGCTGTAGTTCTTGTATAAATAAACGTAATCACAAAATTTCGACTAGTTTAGAATATATAGTCGATTAAATACTGCAGATTAGATTTCAACTTCAACAACCTTTCCGAACGCTGAATGATTGCCTAAATTATGAGCGTGAGATCACCCGGACTTTGACTTATCTTTCCCGTATAAATTACCTCAATGTGCGTCCCAATCTATATACCTTATATAAATAAGAATTCGGCGGAGCAAGAACACGCGAATTTCCTGTTTTTAGAGAGGCGATGAAAAGAGTTCTCAAGACAGACAGAGGAAAGGAAAAAGATCCTTTGGAAACTGTTAAAGAAGAACTTATGCAAAGTATTAATGAAAAATTTACTAGTCTCACGTAAGTATTATAAGCTCGATGTAACTGTCATATTTCTCCCCTATGCACTTCATATAACGAAATTTATTGAGGCCCTGTTACGCGGTGAAATTTTTTCATGCAACGTGCAATACAATTTTTGAGAGATATAAATTTGGCAAGTACGAAACTTTTGTGTTTATTACACTTCATGGACGTTTCTCACAGTTACACTTTAAAGACTTTTCGCCGATTTACATCTTTTAAAAGTAGAATTCCATATTTGCATTGCAAGTTGCAAGAAAAATTGAACTGCATAACACGGGACCTCTACATAATACCCCTTGAAACCAACCAGTCTGAATGGAAAATATTCAACAACGTATGTATATTTTCACTGATTGAGTTCGGAAAAAGAAACCGCAGAGTCTATCTTGAAAAAACTAACGTAAGCAGATATAATATTCTTCTTCATATTTTATAAACCGAAAAATTCTGCTCGTATGCATTAACTTGATGCATGATCTGCGATAGAAGTTTTTCTGCAAATTTGCCTCGAACGAGTTCCTCCATTGTTCTTTATTTGAACCGAGATATGTGGCCTAATAACTCGTACAAAAATATACAAAATAAATCGTGAAGACAGCTCTGCCATGCATGCAGTATAGGTTAGCATAGCAAAGTTAGTGGAGATATCTTGTTTTATTGTAGTATTCAATTCGAATACACATCTGCGCTATCTATTTTAGAGCTATGATGGAGCAAATGAAGAAAGAATCGGAGCAAATGAAGAAAGAATCGCAGCCAAGCGAGTGACTCAACGGAAAAGAGCGCTATAAGGTTTGTTTACAAGCTCGGAAAACACAATTGACAACGATTTATCTCGTCGATTGTAGCGTTTATATATTATATGCATGCATGGCATTATGAATCCTACTGAAAGAACAAATAGACGGACTACTCCACTAAGCTATGGGTCTTGCTTCTATAAAAGGTTTTCTATATGCATTTTTTAAATAGCTAGGTTACAGCATTTGTTAGTATATTTTATTCACACTATCAAAAAAGAATGTTTTATTATATCGCTATATAATACCAAACGATCACCAAACACACGGTCGTCACGTGAAAAAGAGACTGTCACCTAAGTCGTAGAATTTGAAAGTAGATAACTACTATCATAGGAATGTTCGAGCACCTAACCCCACACGGACATCGTCTATTTCTATATATAGTATATTTATTAGTCGTAAGTAAGTAAAATGCGTAAAACTTGGAGCGGTTAGCCAATGGTCATTGTCCTATCAAGAGCCTAGTCGATTGCGCTGCGCCAGACTGATTCAAGGCTTCAGGCGTGAAGAAGCAGATGTGTGTGTATATGACGTATATATAGCAACCGACGAACACAACCAAATTATTTCTTTGGGCGGATGATGAGAAACATTTGACTAACCATGAATAATTCAACACATCGAAAAGACGTCTGGTAGCCCCACCAAGGCCATGCTTTCGGGACGACGTCGTTGTTGTAGAACACGTAGAACTCCCAGAGGGCATAAATCTGCGTGCAGCAAATCAGGAGGCCTGTGGCGGCCGCACGTCGCGCGATTTTCATCACTTTCCTGGTGCGAGCTTCTTGGAAGCGAGCCGGTCTCGCGTTTTTCTCGTTGTTACTTTGACCGCGAGCGACCGGGGTTTCATTACCGGTGACTGTGAGATTCCTAAGAGTTTGTCTCACTTGATTTTGGAGTCTAATCGAGGCTACAATGAAACCACCAAAGAGTAGTATGCCCCAGACCACGAAGAAGGAACGACAGATGAAGAGGAATATCGTCTGTGAGAAGTATACAAATATCATATCAAACGTTATCACCACCACGAAGTGTATCACCAAAACTAGTGCCAGAACTTTGCGCTTGTGAATGCGGGACGGTAGCAACTGCAGTTTCGTGACCTCGACCAATGACCAGTTGATGAGAAAGAACCCGGATGTAAGACAAGGGTAACCCAAGCTGAATAACAGCAGTCCATAGCCCGGGGTCAATGCGAAAGGTCTCCGCGTGGAGTAAGGGTCGCCTAGCAACACCACAGCACGGGTGAAGCCTAGAAAACAAACCAACCCTGTTATTGCAACGAAGTAATTTCTCGAGTTTTTCATCTTGCTTTTGCAAAGCTTGACCAGATTGTAAACCCCGTAGACGGCGATGAAGAAAAAGGTTATTCCAAAGACGTAACTGTGTACAGGCAACGCCCATTTCCAAACTTCTGGATCTTCGTTCCAATCCGGCAAAGGTTCGGGTATCCCATCAAGTACTCTGGAAGAACTGTTTGAATCCTTCCCCATTTTGTTTGGAAATTCACAATGGACTTTCTATTATCAAGAAGTTGAAAGAAAGATTATCCTCAGATCGTGACCCACCGTGATCAGGATTTTCCTTGGGGGATTTTCATTTTCCGGGTCTGATTTATTTTAAGAGGCTGCTTTAGTTCCGTTAATCGTCATGTTTGATTGCAATCATTGTCTTAAGTCCGTTCTCCACTACGCGAATTTATTCGCGCGAACAGATAAAAAGTAGAAAGCGATTCTACTTTTTTTCGTGGCGATTTTTTTCGCAAAACAATCACATCACCGGATTTCAAATATCGCTTCGCGTCGCGCGAATAAATTCGGAGTGGAAAACGGGCTTTAGTGATCTATGCTGACATCGGTTAGATCAATGTTTTTTTCAATATTCATTAATGAATTCATCACTAGCTTTATTAGACACTCGTACTTATGAATTTGTAAAAGATCAGACCCGCCGGCGAGTCCCTGCACGACGGGTGTATATTTCTTTAATGTGAGCAAAAAATAGAATTTGATTACTTATACACACAAGATGATAGGAACTTCTATAATATATAAGTTCATGTCATTCTAGTTGCATGAAAATAATTAAAAATTGATGCGGTGGAAGGCGTGAACAAATGAACACACGCGAGCGAAGATTGTAGTCATTTTTTTTCCTAATGTAGCATCAGTGGGCATGCGATTCTAGATATATTGTCGGACACCAAGCCATAGCCGTGGTAGTCGAACGCGAACCCTTCGTTTCCTAGTCCAGTGCTCAAAAAGGCTATAATTTCGTATAAAAATAGAGTTTCTCGCCGTTTCGCCATTCAGTTTTAACTGTTTTTGCCTGTGCTGTTCTTTCGCTCGAAATCACATCAGAAAAAGAATAGCTGCAATGTTTTGCCAAAATAACAAGTTTATCTTATCTTATTCGTGAGTTTTTCGCGTTGTGTTCGTCGACAATTATTAATAAAAGATTAAATCGTGGAGCTGTATACCAATTATATTTAATTTCAGAATACATTATCAGGCATATTATCAGGGGGAAAAAATGAGATGCTCTAAATACAATAATAACACAATAATATGTCGTTATAGAGATGTGCTTGATCTTTTTGGGGCATATTAGCAGAAAACAAGTTCAATATTCAATATATGTACTGTTATACTTATCCAAAGTACCTCCTTAACGTGAGAGGTTATCTTTGCGTTAGCCTAAACATACATGTAATATTAAAAATACGCACCTTTTCTTGATAGTTTTGATTCAAAACTCAACGTATCCTATGTTGTTTTAAATTTTGTGCTCAGCCGATAACATGTTTACCCAGCCAAGTGGGATGGACGTTAAAAGGCGAAGTTTTAAACATGTAATGAATTATGAAGTATATATATTATAGGATAAATAGGATCTGACGTCATTAAGTAGTGAATATACCTAACACAAACAAGCCTTCCCAAATGTTGTTGATTACAATTTCACACAGTTTTTAAAGCTGATTGGATTCTACACCACCCGAATATCATTAAGAAAGTTTTCAAAATGAGATGTGTTAATTAATTTTCTTTTTTAAGGAATTCGGCACAGCACGATGTAGCGATGTTTTTGATTAGAAATTTACATGTTCGTATTATGCAAATCTTTTGTTTAATTATGACCAGAACGGCATGGCTGAAATTCATATGTATTTTCGGCATGAAATGTGTACACATGCTTAAAAAATTTGAAATTAATGTAAATAATGTTGTATACTTAATAAAAATAGTTTTTTAAGACAGAACAATTACTCGAATACAAAACAACATTTCATTGACCTTGATCGACCATCATCGACCTTGATCGACCACACTAATATTTAATTCTACATTTATTCTTCTCATCGCGTGAATTAGCAAAATTTTAACTAGCTATTTTCGTTGGTAGCATAATTCGCAAGAATCATTCACTATTTATACAGCTTGTGGGAAACCTTTTTGCATAACTAGTGTTTGCTGTAAAATCGGACTCGTTTTAGGATTGCCAGAAATTTTCATGGGGCAGACGAATGATTTTATAGTAAAGGTTTCATGACTTCAAGTACAAATTGTCCAACTTATTACCCCATTCTTTCTAATCTTGTGGAGGCTGGAGGCCCTCCCACCCCTTTTCTCTAACTAAGACCCTATCGTTGGGGAAACAGTAATAGCGCCCAATAGACTAGTCCTTGCGTTCACTTTAGAAACTCCTCTTTAAAAACTTATTGGCGGCCTCGTACTTTAGTATTTTACTCTCAAGAAACAGGTGGTCTATTCGTGCGTAATAAGTCGTTAATAATAGTGAACTTAAGCAAGTGACGTTTTTGACAACACGTACGTTGACCGGAAGTAAAGTTTTTGTTTTCCACTAATCACAATCCTTGACCCAGTCTTTTGACGTTACTCATGCCGTTTCTGTTGTTAAAAACGTCACTTGCTTAAGTTCACTAATATATGATGTATTACGGCAACCTGAATACATGTATACATTCAGGCGCAGCGTTAATTGAAAAAGGGGTATGAGATAGGCGCAAATGATGTTTCAAAGATATTGTTCATTCTTAATTTCTTTCATGTAAAGTCCCCTTCATACTAAGGAGATAACCGCCTTTATTCATTTTGCCATGCTGTTCCATAGCATCTTTTAATTAATTTTTAACAAAATCCTACGTTAACTCCTCCGTTCCTTGAGTCGATTCTCATTCCGCAGGAGCAAAAATCACTTGCTTGTCTTGGTGTAATAAATAGCGTTTACATATGGGGCAGATAACATAATCTGCGAGAAAGCATTCAATGCAAGCAGATATTCTATCTTCTTAGGGTTTTGGCCATGCATGACAATAGGACGTGTTCCCTTATTATGTATCACACCAACCAATTTTAGCGCATCCAATTCTTTTCCAGTGTACGGAATATAGACTATTGACTTAGGTAGCAAATCAATTGAAGTCAATGCCGTCCTGCTTTATCAATAATTATGTAATTCCATACATCAGAAGTACATTGGATCCGATAAAATTGGATTTTGTGCTATTGAGATATAGGTCGAAATAAGTTACTTCAGAACGGTTCAGAAATACAGAACTCAACCTAGAGTTTATTTTCATTTTATTTTCATGATGTACTGTGACTTCTCACAGCTATAATGCCACTAATAATTAGGGACATATTTTGTTGAAAAAATTTTCAGTTATTACAATGTCTTAAAGCGTTTTTCTCGCGTGTATTCACACAGTAAAATATTAAAACTATCTCCTGAGACCAATTTGGTAAGCTTGTTGCAGCCAGCAAGCACATTATACCCATATTATATATATCTCATACGAAAACCGTGCTAAAACTCTTCAGGTTCAGCTCGCGGGTTAGCGAAGTCGGTCATTTTCATTTCTTTGAATTACCGTATAATATACCTTGATATATGTAACAAGATTTGAAATTTATGACTATGCTCTTAAATTTATCCACCGACTAAGCTAACACGGTCTCATCCGACGCGCTACGATTCAAGGCCTCTCGGGTCCACCTTCGCAGGCGACCGTTTACGAGTACGAGCCGAATACTGTGCACAATCAGTGTCATGACAGTATGGCCATGCTAGATCGTTTCGACGTCATTGCATCGAGACTTGAAGTTCTTTTTAGATTTGGTAAAGACAAGTCTGTTAGGTTGTTGTCACAGATACTTGAAATTGCCTGAAATAAAAATGAATGGGTTACCAAACTCGCCAGTGAACACACACTGACACAGCCATGTTCTCCTAAGGGCTAAGGTTAAAAAGTAGAAACATAGTTTTTAAGCCTTATACATGCGGAGTTTCTAAGCTTAGGCTCCATGCTCTCTTAAGTTAAACAACTTTGCGTTTCCCAAAGGAATGAAACATATCAGAAGATAGAAAACAATTCACCTCGAGTTTTTTCGCTCTTTCTCTACTCAATGGCTCCAATGGAAAAGCCAGTTCGTTTTCCTCAGCCAACGACCTTAGATCAAAATAGTATTTCGCATACACGCTTGAAGGCACGTTGATATTGAACTGAAGAAATTCCAAAAACGATCTTTCTAATTCATTCCTAAGAACATAGAAATCATTGATGTAACGAACGCTTATTCCTCGACAATAGCTTCAACTCAGAAAAGTTATCATCAAAGACAAAGGCAAAGCTGAATCCGGGGAAGAAAGTTTTTGTCTTCGAGGTTCTCCGTCGGAACCATTGCCAGCAATATGGGTTGAAGCTTTCTTCCCCCTTCAATGCAATTCTTTGGATCAATTTTCTGATTGAAAACAACTTGTTTTCAATGCAGTATAGATACGGGACAGGTGAATGCAAAAACCATTAAGCCAGTTACATAAAATAACACACTTACATATCTTCGACTGTTATATCTTTTAGTATTTGACAATAGTCCACATTCCAAACTAGAAGAGAGATAATTCAATTAATGTAGCACTTTACTATAAGACCTTGAAATATAAGAACGAAAGTCGGTAAAAGTTGCAAAGCTTTCTCGCATAATAATAGTGCAAATTACTGGTAATAATAGTGCAAAGACTCAGGTGTATATATGAAATTAATATTGTGATGAATACTCTGAGTAGCAACATCAACATCACAGTATTCATTTCTCGTTAACTTTTCGGCGTCCTTTACAAACGTGAATCACTGTTTCTCGAGATATTATTCAGTCCACTTAAGGCCCGTTTAAACAGACCCAACAATGTTGGCACAATATCAGGCAACTTTGACAAAACGTCTTGACGAACTGTTTATTTCTTAAGGGTTTTTTGAATACTCAATAAGATTCATCCAAGTTGAAATCCTAGCCTTTAGGATTGAAGTGACACAGGTTATATGAAATAACGTTATTTGAAAATTATTGGATGATGTTAGATCAACAATGTTGGTTCCGTTGGAACAGGGCTTTGGACTCGAAGACTTGTTAAACCTAGAATTTACTGGGCAACCAGCCCGAAAGAAATTTACCGGCTTGATCATCCCAAACTTTTGAGGAAAGTAATATAGCACCAAGAACTATCCTCTTCCAGTTCCCTGGATATATATCAATCTCAGCGTATGTTAGTAATCTCTCCAAGTATATCTGGAATGAACAATAAAACAATCTTTGACTTTGTTTGTGTTCACTTATTTCAACTTGTAGCCTCACTTCACTTTTTATATGAAGGGCAGTTTAGAAGTGATGAAGATATCTAATGTGGTAGCAGATAAGATGAACAATAAAACAATCTTTGTTTGTATTCACTTGTTTCTACTTGTAGTTTTACTTCACCTTTTATATGAAGGGCAGTTTAAAAGTGATGAAGATATATAATGTGGTAGCAGATAAGATGAAGAATAAAGAGACGAGATGGTGTGAGGTGGTAGACATTTCAGGAAAGACGAGGGAAGCAAGGTTTAGATGATAAGGATGCAGAACAGATAAAGGAGAGATAGTCAGAGATACCATGAGATGAAGTAGCTAAGAGGTGGTGAACATTGCATAGATGATAAAGGAAGCGAGGTCGATATGGTATAGTCACATTAGAAGAGTTGGTCAGAAGTTGTGAATGAAGAGATTGGAAGAAGATTAGAAGAAGATTAGAGATGGTAGACGTCACAAAGAAGATGATAGAGTGATGTTGAGATTAGTCATATGATAAGAAGAGCAGGGCAGGGATATTGGATAAAGGAATCAGAAGAAGATTAGAGGTGTGAAATATTGCAGAGAAGGTAATGGGAGGGAGGGAAAGTTGACAAGGGCAAGCAATGAGAATAGATGAAAGAGAGCTCATCACAGACATTTGAAGAGACACGAAGATGCAAGGTGGTAATTATGGAGATTCAGAAGCTATGCCAGGATCATATGGACAAGTAATAAGCCGAAATGAAGGAGAACTGGTAAATGATGTATAATGAAAAGATAAGATGTGACATGGTGGACACATACATGGTGGTATATGAATGGTCATACATCATGTGGGTGCATGATGAGGGATGAAGGAGAGTTGATCAGACACATTCCATTGACCATCACAAAGTACAAAGAATAATAATTAAAATCACAGCATTATTCTGTGTCCTACCAATGTTATTATTGCACATTCTGCAGTTAATTGTGCAGCATGGAACAGTGTTTTTATAAATTTATAAATCTGTCTTTGTGTTGGGTCCACCACATCATAATCATCTGTTACATATTCCCGCTGAAATAGAGACCTGTAGTTCAGCACTTAGAAAGAGCGAGTATTCAATGAATAGTCCAAAGGATTAACATAAATCTAAGGTCTGGCATACCGTTAATGGATGTCGTTTTTCATCAAAAATATCAAGTGTTCTAGTTTCCGCATCCCTAAAGAAGCAATGACAAAAACATTGAGTATCATATTACACGTTTCTCAGAATAAAAAGGGTTCTCAACAATTTGTATTTAAGTCAGTATATAAATCAGAAAATGTACCATATCATCCTCTTACCTGTATTTTATTAGAAAATAGACTGCAACAGAGACACTTAAAAAAATACACACACACAAACATTAGTTCAATATTGCATTCAAAGATATCCTGATGGCATTCTGATGGCATTCATGGAATAGTGTATAATATTGTTAGTAAGCAATACAATCCTCACCATTTAACCATTGATTTCAAATTAGGCTGACTAACTGTGCTATCATCAAGGAAAATTGTTGAACATGAGCTGCACTTTTTTGAAAGTCTTGGATTATAATATACCTAAAAAGTAAAGTTTATGAGTGCAAAGTTTTTCAATACTTGGTTCTATTTAGATGCCTTTGAGATTACATACTTCACCATTCTGCTTCCGACGAAGATCAACATTCATGGAAATTGCCCGTTTTCCACGTAAATATCCCCTCCCTAGTGAAAAACCATAGCACAGTTACTGGATAGACACCTGTTTATGATAGACATCTCTCTAAGACAGAAAGCATTTCAAGACCGATATCTCTAACAAAGGCAGATGTCTTCCTCAGAGAGGCAATTATGTCTTTCTAACACAGACCTCTTTCTAATACAGACTTCTGTAATTTAAATTATGTCAGACAAGGCACCCCTCAAAAGACAGACAAATCTTTTTAAGACAGATTTCTTTAAGTATAACATATATTGTTATACAGTAGTGAATACTGAGACAAAACCACAGCAGTTTAGAGTTGCACACACACACAAACATAATTAAATTAATATGTCATTGTATGACACAGACAATGATGAATTAACTTGACTCCAGTTAGTGATTGGATAAATGCAATTAACAAACAGTATGAACTATATATATATATGTCAAATATAAAAGAAGAAAGGACGGAAATACACTTTAAATAACTTCTCAATCTACTGTGTAATGTACTCATACATGCTGATTAGGGCAGCCATAATTTACAGGCAATTTAATTAGCTACAAAGCAGGTAGACAAATTAATAAAAAACCCAATCAACTTCAAAGTAAGTGTATTTCAATTCATAATGTGTAATATTTGTATGATATATAAACTCACCTAAAAATTTGATAGACCTTTGCATAAATAACGTTCCTTGGTGGTTGCTCAGATCTTGAAAAAAATGCATTAATGCTTTATAGCTATGTGTAGCCGGCCCTGTTTCCTGCACTTAAAAACAGGCTATTGTATGACAACACCAACCATAGAAGCATTATATAAATTCGAATGTGAAGGTCACAAAATAAGCGATATAACCCACCTTCTCGCTCGCTGATGTGGGGTAAATCTAGGTTACTTGCATCGCCACGTTTCGGTGAGTAAATAGCGTTTCTATCAAAGTTATGATCGCTGGCAGAATGAGGCATACAACATGTCATATTACCCATATTCTAAAGTGGCACAGTGCAATGCCGATCCTTAAGTCGGTTTTTTCCTCTCTTGTTCGATCAGACATGAACTCTTAACCAATATGTAGACGCTTCTCTCTTTGACTTCATTTCTCGCCAACGTAAACAAAGATATATCATGTATTAGATAGTGTCTGTTGCGTTTCAAATCAATAGTCAATACATAATTACATATTTCCAGATTCTTAATCTTTTATCATTTAACATTTGCTCTGCAAGATTTGTTTCTTTCATATAACCTCATCGCTGATTGGTCCAAATGGACCATGACGTTTTATGGGTAACGAAATTCTATATTTCCCCCGGGAATTTTTGTTTGTGCATTCGTAGGTCCTTCATTTTGTTCAGGTCCAGGGGGGTATGAACGTTGGTGGGCACAAAATATAAGAGAAAATCTGTTATTATGGCAATTTAATATTTATTTTTAACGTATATCTGCTTATTCATGTCCCCGTTGTTATTAGTTGGAAGTAAACTACTCCAGAATGATAGTTTTATCTTGAAGCAAAGGTACATACACTTTGTACAGTAATTTGTACAGTAATTTGAACTTAAATTAGATAATGTTGTCAGAATGTTGTTCCTAGCTTGTAAAACTATTGCAAAAATGTTGCAATTTCCTTAGAAAATTGTTACAAAATCGCTTTTTTTCTACAATTAGAGACGCCCGCAATTTGAGTGACCAGCAATCTTGAATACAATGTTTCCATGGTAACAAGCACGTATCACCAAGAAATCAAAAATATTTGAAAGGCAAGAAACTCTGCCATTTTTAGAGCCAAATTTTAATAAAATTTAGTGTTTTTTTCGCGTTTAAATTATGTACGACGATGACGAAGAGCAAGAAGAAGGGCCAAAGAGCTCGTTCACAACATATTTAGCTGAAGGAGATGTTTTATTTAAACAGGGCGAGTTCAAGAAAGCGCTGGATAGCTATAATTTGGTTTGTATTTTTGTATAAATGTCCTCAAAAAGCCCGTCCTTAGTATTATATAAACTAACAGATAGTATAAGCTGGATGGGAAGGCTTTTTTGACCATTAATATGAGAAATTTTACCATTTATGCCCACTAAATATTTTTGTTAAAAATAAATCAATGTATTGTAAAACAGTGAAAAGGTATTTGATATTTGTAAATTGATAATGATTTAGCTTGACCATATCTGCTCTTCTTTTGTGGTCAGCTAGGCTTAAGTTCTATGTTATACCAAGAATGAATTGGCATTTTGAATACAGTATTAGAAATCAAGAGTTAAATTTTGTGTTGTTTTATTACCAGGCTTTGGAACTGAAACCAACGGAGAAGTTTGCGCTGGTTGCAAGATCTAGGTGCCATCTTCAGCTTGGAGACACCGAATCTGCATTGAAAGATGCAGAAACTGCGCTGGAAGATGATAAAGAGTTTATCCGGGTAACCAACTCAGATTTCTTACACTGCAGTGTTGGACATAAATCTTGCATCTAAGTAGCTTGCTTTGTGTGCATGCTACTCAGAAGTATAATATAACACCTCCATGTATATTTCCATCCTCACTTGCACTTTTAGAACACTTCAGTGGACTTTCAGTTTGTAAAAGGAGTCTAATGATTATATATAATAATATATATTTTTCAGGCATTGTATCAAAAAGCTGAAGCACTTTACTCCATGGGAGATTTTGAACATGCCTTGGTATTCTACCACCGTGGAAACAAGCTGAGACCAGAACAGCAGGAATTCAGGCTGGGGATACAGCTCAAGAAGCAATTGATAATAGCATGGACGTAAGAAATATACCAAACTAACTTATTTAACTGGATGACGGTACTTCTCTTTCTAAAGGTCCAGTAGGGATCCTTTATTGGGATTCAAAACAAATTTTTCATACATGTAAAGGGTGATACATATAACCTTTCATCCAAATTTCATTCCATGTTTTATTATGGTAGGTGCAGCTAAGATTAAGTTGGAGAACAAAGGAGATTTGTCATTTTTTGCCAAACAGGATGAGGTGGTAAGTACAGTACAATCATATGTTATATTAGCAACATTTGTAGTCTTGCTATGTTTTGTATTTTCTCAATTGTTTCTTCTCCTATCATTGAAGAAAAAGCCAAAAGGATACACAAAGCCAAAAGCTAACATGAACAGAGGTCAACAGCAACCACAGGCGAATAGAGGAAAAAATACCAAACCTCCACCATCTTCAACAAAGACTGTTAAACAGGTGGGGAAATTTTCCATTGTATTTTTACCAAGTTTTCCAAAATTTTCTATAACTTCGATAAAATTTACTTGAACTCAACAAAAGTCTAATAATTGGTTGAATAAACTCATTTTGTTAATGGTTTGTCAAATTTAGCTGTTGGGAGAGCTCTACGCAGACAAACAGTATCTTGAAAATTTGTTGAATGACAAAGGTACATTCCCTTTATATATATATTTATATTCTTATTGCAACAATTATTTTGATCATGAAATTCTTTTTGAAGTGCCACAAAATTCTTAGTGGTGATATATTATACAATTACGACCAGCTGTATTAAAACTATTCTCCATTTTCGCGGTATCCAGCTTTCGTCCAGGGTAACAACGATAGTACGATCTATGGCCTGGTTTCCAGTGGTATTGGCTACCTTGATTCACGCACGGAGTTCTGGCGTCAACAGAAACCGCTGTACGCAAGAAAGAAAGAGAAACCAGTACTGCAGAGGAATAAACCTAAACGCAAAACAGAAGATCCGACCGATTTCGTTGTTCGCTCCCTAGAAGAGATTGACCAGAAGTTGTCGGATGGTGATGAGTTGGGCAGTTTGAAACAGGCGGAGAACACGCTGCGACAGGTCAAAAGCATGAATGATAAAGCAATACCGAACAAGCAAGAGGTGCTTGCTAACTTACATTCTTGTATTGGAAACGCCATGTTAGAGATGGACGATCCAGCAAAAGCTTTGGAGAGTCACAAAAAGGATTTGAGCATTTCGAAAAAAATGTATGTAAAGTCTGAACGATTTTCTTAGAGTTTGGCTTCAAAGACTACCCTCCGAACTATATCGAATTGCAGCCGTAGTGACTGTCCGTAGTTCTGACGGAAATCACACGATTTTTTTTCTCTCTTGTATCAGTGGGAAAGAAAGGGGCTTCTTGGATTTTTTAAACCCTTTTCATAAATATTCTTCCAGCAAAAACTCTTCTGTACTTATGGGATCTTATATTGTGGATGGGGGGGGAGTCTTCTCACCTCACATAGGCTGGTTAGAACTACACCCTCCAAAGAGGTCCACCACATTAAAATGCATATAAAGCGTTCTTAACTCAGCAAATTCTTAGACTAAGTGAAAAAGAGCATCTTGTGTGTCCACTAGACACTAGAGTGTGTAAAGGTCGAGTTTGGGAAAAAAAACATCTGTCCATAGGGAGTACGTTGGATGTTAAATACTCATTAGATCTCATATTCTCTTTTGTTTCCCATAGCGAAAGTAAGGACGGGATATCCCGTGCGTTGGATAACATCGGGCGGTGCCATGCAAGGCTTGGTCAATACGCACAGGCGATTGACAGTTGGATAGAAAAGCTGCCGTTGAGTAAAACACCTCTGGAGACCACGTGGTTGCATCATGAGATCGGGCGTTGCTATCTTGAGCAGAAGAACTACCAGGATGCATTAGAGTGTGGTCAGCGGTCTCTCGTGTCAGCACAACAGGCCACGGAGAAAGTATGGGAACTGAATGCAACTGTTCTCATCGCGCAGTCCCAAGGTAGGTCCGTTGCGTTGTGTGTCTTAGACAACTAGCTATTATAAAGTCGATTAGAGGACTCGTTAGAAAGAGAGTTTCTAGATTTCTATAAACAAGAGATTCAAGCCCGAGGTATATGATATCAGATTTGTTTTTCGGCAATTGGCCGAAGCGATTTAAAGATTATTAATTATGTAGATATGCAGATACTATATATATTTTTATGTGAAGTTCGCAGAGTTATAGATAGCATGAATCAGAATCAGCAAATGGTTGCATGAACCAGCTTGCAGTAGAAGCACAAACCGGCTAAGAATGGTAGCATGAACCAGGTAGCAAATTATAGCTACCATAAACCAGATAGCAATTGTAGCGAGAACCAGATCAACCAGGTAGTAAAAATGGCGTAAACCAGCTTACAGAAGGTAGATACCGTGAAACAGCTGTAGAGCATGAGCCCAGATCATCAGAAACGAGAATGGAGACAGTCTTTTGTGAACTTTTATTCAGCAAATCGGCGAGAATTTTTATTGGAATTTTTTTTAAATTTTAATGTGCGTTCATCACTGTTGTTTTGTCAGTCAAATTGGGTGAGTTAGAGGTGGCCCTCAGCTCGTTCCAAGATGCCCACAAGATCGCGGAGGGTTTGGATGACGACGCAGCAGAGATTGCCATCGCAAAGGCAATCGACGATGTTCAGAACAGAATAGACAAAGGTACTTTGAGCTCTTTCATTTTTGAAATATTTTTAGTTATTTTGCTTTTGGATTTCATGCACAATATACAGAATATACTGACCCAATATACTGTTGTTCAGGTATAGTCGAGGACAACACGACCACCACGCAGGATGGTCCCGAGGAAAGTCGCGCTTATTTTGACAATGAAGAGAGGGAAAGTGAGAACCCCACAGGAACTAGCGGTGAACAGCAGGATGGTCCTCAACGTGAGAATGATAATGTAAATACTGATGAGGACACCGCTGAGCAAACAATCGACGACTCCGATGGTAAAAAAGCAAATGAAAGCGAGGCTACGTATACTGAAGAAACGACGACATCGTCGTGAATTAACTCCTTGCGAATGAAGTGTAATTAGTGCATTATATGAATTGAAATTTCAATGCTTTTTCCCTATTGTTGCTACTCTATTAAACTGTAAAAAATGGTGTTTAAATGTTTGTGTAAATAAAGTTTTACTAGCCAGAATTTCCCAATATGATAATGGTTATTCCTCGCACATCATCAAATTGTACAGAGCACTGAAATCTGCATGGTGGTGACTGTGAAGTATCCTATTTCACTTTGCGACTGTGACCGCACATGGTAATTGCATAAAAACATGCGGTGGATGAAACAGACGACTTTTCGATTGTGTTACGTTTTGGAGAAGAGGCAGCTGAGATCTTTAAAGATAACATCATCATTCGTGATCAATCATGATTCTAGTGGCCTGGTATGTTATGAAAGCT